CTTTTACCCTTAAAGAGCTGAATGAAAGTTTTTACATTTCACTTAACATGTACTAAATGCCAAACACAGCACAGCTGGGAATCAGAATTGAGTCTTGCAAGCATAAGTAGGGCACATATAAATTCTGGGAATAGAAGACAGTCATACAATGCATAATGATGTTTCAATGAACAACAAACTGCACATGACACTGATTCCATAGTTTTCTAGTGCCTAGTGGTGTTGTAGCCATGAAAATATTCTAGAATAACATATTAGGTGTCTGCAGTGTTGCTGGTAAAAACAAACCTATGGTGCTGCTAGTCATATAAAAGTATAGTGCACTCAATCACATATACTACATAAAACTTGATAATGGTAATAAATGACTATGTTACTGGTTGATGTTTTTATAAAACATTTTTTTTCAATACTGAACATTAAACTTTATTTTGAAAACAGATCTCTCTATGTAGCCTGGGTTGGCCTTGAATTTATTTTAATGTAAAGTTACTTATTTTTTTAAAAAATACAAACTAAACTGTACATCTGTCTTTGTTTATGGCCTTTGCCTATTCTCATTTACCAAAGTGTGATACCCCTTTCTTTGAAGCCTTAGCCAGGCAGGATAGAAGACAGTTTCTACAGGAGGGCCTCAAACTCTTGATCCTCCAGCCTCAGCCTCTTAATGCTGGGATAACAGGTGTGTACCACCATTCCTAGATTCAATACTATACTTTTTATCATTACTTTAGAGTATACTCCTTCTATGTGTCAAGAAAGTTTACTGTAAAACAGTATGTTATACCAGTACAGCCTAACATAGCTCAAGTTTCTGCTTTCATGCTCTTTCTTTCTTTCTCTCTCTCTCCCCACCATGTGTGCATGTGTGTATATGTGGTGCTAGGGACTGAACCCAGAGCCTTGCACATGCTAGGCAAGCACTCTACCACTGAGCCCAGCCCTACCATGCCTCTTGACTACATCATTCTCTGTTGTGCTTCGTTTTACCTTGTGTGCACACATGCTATAGAGTGTGTGTACTAGACTACACCATCTAGGTTTGTTCAAGTATATTATATCTACACATAACAAAATCACCAAATGACTCATTTCTTAGAATGTGTCCCCACCAACACATGATTATATTTACTAAAGGAAAGAAACTTTGTCAGTACATTGGTAAAATAATTTTGTATATAGCCACTCAGTAGATTTGTCCTTCATAACACAGAAGGAAAATCAATACATATTATTATCGGAGCTGGGCATGGCGGTGCATGCTTAATATTCCCAGCACTCAGGAAAGGGGGGGTGAGAGGATCATGAGTTTGAGGCCAGCTTGTATACACAGCAAGTTCCAAGACAGCCTGAACTACACAGTGAGACCCTACCTCAAACACAAAATACAGGGACTGGGCATGGTGGCACATGCTGTTATCTCAACTACTCAGGAAGCAGAGATGGGGAGAACTGTGGTTCAGTAATAGGGCAAAAAGTTAGTAAGCACCCTTCTTAACAAATAAGCTAGAAATGGTGGCTGGCACCTGTCATCCCAGTTACACAAGGGGTATAAGTTCTCAAGGTTCAAGGGTGGCCCCAAATACTTAGTCTCTATCCAAAAAAAATTAAAAATGCAGGAAATAAACCAGAAAACAAAGCAAAACAAACATCTCCCCCTCTGTCACCCCCCCCCAAAAAGAACTGATCATAGAATTGTAACTTAAAATCTTTTTTTTTTTTTTTGGACGCACTGGGGTTTGGACTCAGGACTTGAGCCACTCCACCAGCTCATGACTTGAAATCTTAAAGCTTACTGTGTACTTCCTGTTTTGTACAAATTACTAGTGCTACTGAACTGCTCACGTCTAGTTAAAATCTTTTTGGATTTTTAAAGCAGTAGAAAGAATTCAGTATTACAGCATTCTTCATTCATTTAACAATTAATAAGTACTTATGTGTTAGTACTGTCCTAAAAAGTTGAAGTGAAACAGTAAATAAAGCAAACTCATAAAAAATAAGTCTGCCTGGGGGATGGATAAGTAATGTGTAACCAATAAATTATAAACCTTCAGGTGACAAGAGCTCTTTTTTCTTAAAAAGACAATTTTAAAATTAAAAAGTTGTGAAATAATATAACTACTTTTTTTATTGAGCCTCATTTGCAAAATGTGGTTATTGTAACCGCACTGCTTACAGACTATTTATGAAGATCAAAGGAGAATGACAGTCACTTCATAACATAAAAGCAAATGAGCTTCTATGTAACTGTTTACCCCTATGGATTATGATCCCACTGACCAATTTTCATTAAATTTTTCTCTTGTAAAAAAAAAAAAAATAAGAAATGAGCTCAGCATGCCCTCTCTCAGCTGGGGGAGCACTTCCTTACTGTTCTGGCACTGGGAAGATCTTGCAGCTCCTTCTCAATTTCTCTGCCCCAGCACTGGAATCAACCATTTTGTCAACAAACCCTGGTTCTTCTCATATTGGAGAAAGGCTGGTAAGTTTTATGTTGAAATGTTTATTGCCAATCAAAGAGCTACATTATGGACACATTTCACAAACATGAACCTTGACTGAAAGGAGCCAGACAAAAACAGTATCTAAGTTATGTTATGTCCCTCTCCTTGTGTTACATCAAAGAGCTATGATACATATGTGTCACATTATTTGGGACAGATCTTTCTTTTATAACAGATAGGCAAGGGGTTTGCCTTCATGATTTTATTGAAGTAGTGCATACAAAAAGTAAAACAAGTATCATTTCAGATTTTGACAGTGATAGGAAAAAAACAACTGTTGCTATAACAGATATTGTAATAAACATGACAGACTGATGGGGAGGAAGTGCTGGAGGATAGAGGGTACACTCATGGTCTGCAGCACCTTCTAAGGGGATAAGTAAGCTGGGAACAGTATGTACTGTGACCACATTTTAAATTTCTTCTAAAAAGTACTTTTTTGGACAGAAGTGGAGGTCTCCCCAAGACCAGGCCAGAGGCTGGGTAAAACAGTGCTCTACGGGCTTGCCAGATATGCCCCAACGATAGATAACCTTGTCATTGGACTGGGGACCAGAAGAGAAAGCTTCTGTAGTGTACAGGGTTGTGGATTGTTCCTAGCATTCATGGCCTTCCCAGAGGTATTCAGAGAAACTGTCGCTGTCAATGGAAAGGGAAAAGACAGTGGAGGAAACAGAAACTGAAGGCAGAACTGGGTTCCGAGAGTTCTCCTTCTTCCTTGCCATGCAAAGGTAGAGGACTAAGGGAAGTCAGCACGGTGGAACTACTGCCTTTCCAAGAATGTTTGCTGAAGCCAAGGATGGAATTGGGACAACACCTTGAAACTCGAACCCAAGTCGGCATTGAAGGAACAGTAAGCAGGATATTAAGAAGTAGCTCCACGTAACAGAGACAGATTCCACGACTCACAGCTGCCCTTCTCTGCCCTGGTCACATGATCGTGGCACCTAAGTTCCCTATAGTTCTCCCTGTAAGTTAATGTTGACTCTGTGTGACAAGCAGCAGTAGATGCTTCTGACCTTTAAGTCCTCGAGGATAGGCACCAGCCAGTTCACCTAAGCGTCCCCTGCCTGCCCTAATATGGCATCTGCTGGTGCTCAGAAGGCCTTTGCTGGAACAAAAGCAAATGCCCTTTCTTGGGGCACTTAGGCTGGTTTTGTTGGATCTACAGTGGAGATTAGTCACCACTAGGTGTCATGACTCATAGCTGAAAAAAAAAAAGGTACTTTTTCTTTTGACTTGTAAGTCAGAAAGAAATGACTAGGTTTACATTGCAGGAGGGAGACTTGGGGAAATTACAAGTATACAACTTCTGGGATGTTGGTTAGGTTCTCTTTCTTGATCTTGGTTTTGAATCAGAATGTTCTTCAATTTGTAAAAACTCAATGAGCTAATAAGCACTTTTCTATATTTACATTTCACTTTGCAAGTTTTTAAAAGTATTATTAGTATATTAAAGTCTTCCAAAAAGAAAAATAAGAGTTAAAGAGTGGCAGAGTGAGGGGGCTTAGCACATTTGAGACCCTAGCACTAAATAAATAATACTGAATAAATGTCTATCTTGTTTCAGGAAGAAAACACATGAACAATGGCCATAAAAGGATACCCAGAAACTGAAGCTAATTTACTGAGAAAATACTTAGAAAACATTCTCTTCTAGCTTAAGAACATCAGCAATTATTTTTGCAATCAATGCTGGAGAGTTTGTATAGTAGTTTCCTAATAAGGATATGATTCTATTTTATGAGTTCCACACAAGAGGAAAGATTTTACATCCTACTATCCTTGTTTTATAAGTGGGAATCTTAGAAAGCTAAGATTCCTCAGGATAAGCCGGGCACAGTGGCTCACACCTATAATCCCTTAGCTACATGGAAGGCTGAGATAGGACAATAAAGGCTCAAAGCCAGCTGGGGCAAAAAATTAGCAAGTCCCTATCTAAACGAAGCTGTCAGGAGTGGTGGTTCATACCTATAAGCCTAGTTCTTGGAAGGCATTGGTAGGAGAATCACATTTGGAGGCTAGCCTAGGCAAAAAGCTCCAGACTCAGACTGGACGTGTGGCTGCTTTGCAAGTGGGAAGCCTTGAGTCCAAACCCCAGTCCCACCAAAAAAAAAATAAGAAGAAGAAAATATAGAGAATATGGTTCCTTTCTTTCTCAAGCAAATCAATTCATTTTACGATTATAAATTCTAGATTCAATATAGAACATATAAGTGTATCTTCATATTGTTAAAGAGACAATAATCATTTTTCTGGATGATTAATTTTACAATCAATTTCTGTTCAGTTCTAATCTTAATCAGTCTTTGCCACCAACCTCTGACCCATGTCCCAAACAAACAGACCCCTTCAAAACTATAAAAATCAACCAAACAATCCTACACACACACACACACACACACACACACACACACTCACTCACTCACTCACTCACTCACTCACTCACTCACTCACTCACTCATAGGAAAGCCCCAAAGCAACCTATGTTATTACCTGTTTCTGAGGATAGGAAAAGGATTCTTTTCCTATAGTATGAAGAATAACATGATGCTGACCTTCCAAAATAAGCTGCTTACTGTCTTCCACAACATATGCCTAAAAAATTCAAAACACAAAAATGTAACTCTGCTTTGTGCTAACCTCAAAAGTAACCAATCTGATGAAAGTTAGAAATATAATAGCTAATATCTATCAATTATCAATAATCTTGGCTATATGAACATGTCAACTTTTACTCATTTAATCAATAAGAAATGTGTTCAAAAATCTGTTTTAACTCATTGTATCTCAGATGGCCTAGATATTTGGAAGGGACAAATCTTGAAATCTTTCCTAATTTGCTCTACATTCTTAAGAAAAAGCTTCAAAAGAATTGTGCCATAACCCAACCGTTCTGTTTTTACTGGATTGTCAATATATAGGCAAAGGTTTATTCTTATATTTTTGCTTCTAAAATGCCCTACGGTTTACCACAGAGCAGAGAGAAATTGCTGAGTATAATCATAAATCCTGGCAGTGGAAATACCATGTTGGGAAACCACATACGGTTTTGAGATGGTTTTGTTTTTATGCTTTGTAGCTTAGGCTATCCTGAAACTTGCAATCCTCCTGAATCTCCTCCCAAGTGCTGCGATTACAGGCATATGCTACCACACCCAGTTTAATACACATGCTTTTAAAAATGTTTTTTTCTTCCAATATATAGTGAACCAATTTCATCTATATAAAATACTTGTTCAGTTCATATATACATATATATATATATATATATATATATATATATATTTTTTTTTTTTTTCAGTACAGGGTCTCACACTCTATCAGTTGAGTCATTCTGCCAGCCCAATCTGCTCCTTCTTGAATTACTTTTGTAGTTTTGGTTCTAATTGGCACATTATGCAAATATAAGGCTTATTTTTTTTTATAAACCCAAGGTTTTTACTATTAAATTCTACAGACATAAAATTACTCAGTCAGTAAGGGTCAGAAATCTCATTGCTTGCTTGCTTTTGTTCTCTGTACTTACAATGAACTAGTGGCAGCTTGCCATGCAGGGATCAGACTTAGTGTACTGCACTAGGCACAGAATAACAAGGACCTGCTCAGAATCCATATGGGCAGAACCCAGAAATACAGGAGTTAAACAGGGGATGGCATGACCTTTAATCACAAGGGGATGGAAGTTGGCAGGTCTTGAGACACAATGTCAGACATATTTTCCTATAATCCCATGGGATAGAGCCACAGTTACCCAATGCCATCGCTAATTCTATTATGCATTCTCCTCCCTGTACAAGGGCTTAGATTTTTTAAAACAAGCTTTTATTTTTGGCTAAGATTGCCTATGAGTTGCACTATACCCCTTTTCAACATTTTTTCCATTAAAATTTTGTTCAATTTCTTAGTTTTCTCCCAAATCATATTTTATTCAAGAGTATTATGTCTCCTGTGCATCTTACTCCACAATTAAAATGACTTTTCAAGGCTTTTTTAAAAAAAATTCAATAGGTCATTTTTACCTTACCTAAAAAATAAAACCAACCAAACAAACAAAAAACCTACCAGCCACTTTTTCAACTGAGTACATACAGGTATTAGGCACAACCAAACTTTATATCCCATTCTTTAATCCATTCAAAATTATACTTTCTAGCCAAGAAGAATTGCACTCTCAGTTTTCTTCTTCATGTGATTAGTAACACTGATGGTGGGCTTTTGTTCAGGGTCATTTTTAAAAGACAAAATTTTCTCCCCAGCCAACATTATTGTGTACTTAATGAATACTCAAAATCTTGTCTCAAAAACAATAGATTGTTATATGGCATGAGCATATGGACAACAGTCACAACTGTAAGGGTCTATTATACACTTATTTAGTGGATGGTGGTTTACATTAAGGGAAGTGCTAATCCTGAAAAACAGGATCCTCTTGATTGAAGAGCATTTGATTTCAAACTGTTTTATTGTAACATAAAATATTTTCTATACTCAATAAAAATATTAACTACTTAAATAGCATTCCATTTGAAATTCATGCAAAGTCAACAGTCTCAAAAAGTTTTATTTCTAATTTTTTTTAAATAAAAAAATGCTTTTTATTTGGATAAAGCTAATAGCGTGTAAAAAATGTTTTTTATTTGGATAAAGCTAATAGCATTTTAAAGTATGTTCATAAAAATATTTAGTAATTTTTTTTCCCGAGTATAGAAGATCAAACTCATGGCTTCTTATATGCTAGGCAAATGTTGTACTAAGCTATACCCCCACCCCCAGCAAAAAAAAAAAAGGTTTATTAAGAAATACGTGGCTTAGTTAAAAAAATACTCTAGAATACCTGAATCAATTTTAAAAATACATGTACTAATGACATACTACAGTCTCTATGCTGGCTTGTATCAGAGGACAAAACATACCTCTGTCAGAGTTCAGGTGAATATTCTTGGACAGCATTGTCAACTTCACAGTAGAGTCATTTAAAAAAACAAACGAGTTACACAGCTAAGCTATGGAAACAGCCATGATGCCCCACAGACTAAGAAAATATGGTATTTATACACGATGGAGTTTTATTCAGTCACAAAGAATAAAATTTTGTCGTTTGCAGGTAAATAGAGTGAAGTGGAGAATATCATCTTAAATGAAGTTAGCCAGGCTCAGAAAGCCAAAGACTGCATGTTCTCTCTCATATGTGGAATATAACCTAATACAAATTCATCAATATTATGAAAAACAGGTCACACTGGAAGAAGGTCAGATATGAGAGAGGGAGGGTAAAAAACAAGTTAAAAAGGTGAATATGGTTGATATACTCTCTATACAAGAATAAATACAGAATGTTTAAACCTGTTGCAATCACCATAAGAAGGGGACTAAGGTAGAAAGGATAAAAACAGAGATGAACAGAGATATGTATGTATAATACATATATACATGGAAAGATTACACGGAAACTCCCTGTACAGCTATCTTAAACAAACAAAAATGTCATTTTGTTCTTTACAAAAATGGAGAACAGGAGGGTGAAACAGGTCCTGCCTGGGGGTGTGGGTGGTGGGGTGGATACCAGTGGGAGGGGGACAGATGTGAAGAGAATTCGTAGGAGGGTAAATATTGTACAAATACTGTGTACATGTGTATGTAAATAGAAAAATGAAACCTATTGGAATTATTCCAGGAATGGGCGAGGAGAGATAAAGGAGAATGATAGAAGGGTGAATTCAACTATGATATATTAAAAGAATTTTTGTAAATCTCACAATGTACCCCCAGAACAATAATAAAAAAAGGGAAAAAAAGTTAACACACGTATATGCTACAAAAGGATATACTGTAAGTAAGATTCCAATGTATTATGGCTCTGTTCAATTTAGGGGAGACTAATGCCTCAACATTCATTCTGCTACTACATGTGGACTTTGGGTTTGATTCAAAGCATTACAAAAAAAATAGCTTTGTGGTATTGAGTGCTTTGCATGTATGTGGCAAAACAAAACAACCAAAAATAACCCAGTAGAAACAATAAAGGTAAAAACAAAAAAGGGGGAAGGGGAAAGGAATACATGGCAAATGAATAGCAGTAAGTGGCTGTTGGAAGGAAAGAGAGTAATGGGTACCTACAGGTTCATGGCGCTATGCTTCTTTACCTGGCATGTTTGGAATTGCCATAGGAGTTTAATAATACCTGATGTCATGGAGGTTACCACGTCCACAACATTCTCAGCAACACACAGATATAACAGTAACACAGAAGTTATAAAACAACTTCAATATTGCAACTGAAAATTGTATGCAGAATACAAATAGCAGGAAATATCTGTTCTTCACTTAAGAATCAGGTATCTAGACCAAGCATGGTAGCGTGCACCTACAATCCCAGCACTTGCGAGGCTGAGGCAGAACGAATGCAAGTTTGAGGTCAGCCTGGGCTATGTAGTGAGACTTTGTCTCAAGAAACAAACAAGAAAAACTTCAAACACCTATAAGCGAAGCTTACTCACATAGAAGCACATACCTTCCATAAAATGACAATATTCAAATCCACCTCACTGCACTTTTGAATCAATCTCACGGCATCCTCTGCTGAATGTCTTTCTGTATGCCCAGACACCTGAGTTTGTGTTTTTTTCAATTCAGAGGATAAACTTCGAAAAAAGAAATCTGCACACGGGCTTGCTGAACTTATTATCTGTTAAAAGAAAATCACTTGTCTACATAAATGTTCTTAATTTAATGTCCTGTCAATACTTATTCTGTATCACTTATTTAAATACATCTTGCCAAAAGTTACAATTCTGTAATTTATATATACCCAAAAGGCATACTCTGTGATTTCTTGCCAACTACTGCAGTTGAACACAAGGTCATTTGAATACCTAAGAGATTTGTTACAAATTACTCAGAATCTTAAAAGCTGTCACCCCAAAATAACCAATCTATACACCCATCATCTTTCACGTATTCAGGGAGTATATATAAAAAATTAAATGCTGAATATAAATATTTTACTATTAAAATAGCAAGTATTTCTTGAATATTTCAGAATACAAGGCAATGAAATAGAATGCAAATAGTTACTGGTACTTATTCATTCTTTATGCTGTAGGATTTGGCAGGAGAAAGAATTTTAAATGGACTCAGACCTACAGGATTTCCCTTAATAAAATGTTGGGTCTCAGTAAAATCTCTACACTTACACTTTTATAAATTGTAGGACAGGTATATATCATGTAGATATTAGCTTCGAGATACAAAATAAATACTAAATGTTAATGAATATACACAGTTTCTCCCTTTTAAGTGACTTTTTTCCTAGTAAAAACATTATCTTCATAGTTTTCTCCTTAATCTGTAGTACTTGGTGCTATTTATCAACCAGATTTGTTGAAAGGAAAAATAACTTTGTTTCTTCCTTCTTCAGCACTCCTATACAGAATTATTTAACAAGTTCAACAAAAAACATAACCTTAATGTAATTTAAGAACTCCAGTGATGTTTCAAAGGATTCTAAATCTTTTAAAAGAAATAATGAACAAAGCACACAACTGAAGACCTAAAAGCTGAGTTCAACCACGCAAAGCATAATATCTGCAAAAGTCAACATGTTTTATAATTATTGGGCTTTCACAGCTGTGAGATATTTCTAAACAGCTGCTTCCCCAAACGGTCAAAGACTGTCACAAAGGCTGAGTCAGAAGAAAGCCAATGATTAGAGAAGTATAAAATTGTAACGATATTTGGTATTATCAGAGAAGAGTACAGAGAAGAAATCGTTCCACTACCCACGCACAATTATACAGAATTTCACACTGACAGTCCAGTACTTCTCAAAGCAGATCTCCTGATAACCGCTTCAATTATATGTACGACTAGCTAAAAATGCAACATTCTCAAACTCTACCCAAGACACAATGAACCAGAGCTTTAGAGGTAAAGAGACAAAGACTGTATTTTCATAATTCTCCAGGTCCTTTGAACTCAAAACTAGGGTCTGCAGACTAGCAACTTCAGTGTCACCTAGGAGCTTATAACAATTAAGAACCTGAGGTTCTACCCCAGGACTAATCAATCAGAATTTGCATCTTAATGAGATCCACAAAGCACAATTTTTGAAATTTGAAAACCACTGCACTAGGTGATTCTTATACATAATTATGATCAGTTTTCACTGCCTTAAACAATACCTTTAAAATCACAAGGCAGCCTTATATATCTAGCTTGTTATGTGGGTCTCAGAACCATACAATATGCCAAAATCCATGGGGTTAACATCTACATGTTCCATCATGCACACTTCCTAACAGAAAGGTCTCCTCATCTAATCCTGCTTTTTTTTTAATCTCAAGGATTAATTTCATTTGGTATTTTCAAAAGAAAGTTAATTTAAATAACTAACTAAAATGGCATAGTCCAGATATCACGTATGGTAGTGCACACCTATAAGCCCAGCACTTGGGAGGCCAAGGCAAGAGCATTGAGAGTTTGAGGCCATTCTGAGCTACAAAGCAAAACCTTATCCCCAAACCCCACCCACAAACTAAAATAGCATAGTAGTCCATATAACATTTTTTGGTTTGTTTTGGAAATTGAAGACAGATTGTAAAACTCATTGAAATTGAGATGTTCATCCTCTAAAGAATTTTGGTGATTAATGAAGAAACAGGGTTTAATTTTTCTTTCAAATATTTTTATTAAGTTTTACTCAAAAGAAATGAAAGATATGATCCGACTGAGATTTACATTCTCCAGGTAAAGAAACACTTTTGCCAAAGTGGCCAGAAATTCTGTATGACTTGTTTTTATAACTATGATATTTAAATCAAACACCATGTGCTTATTTGCATACCTGTTCATTTCCAAAGATGATATCTGCAAAAGTGTACTTTTCTGAGGATTGTGAAGCAGCTGAAAACCAGAAAAACAAACTAATCATATCTTTGCCATAAAATATAAAGTGAACGCTTAAGAAAGTGTGAAGTAAAACTGGCTTACCTTCTCTTTCTTTACATCTTATTGCCTTGAAGCAAAACTTGCCCTTCTCCCTACTGGCCAACTTGGAATCTAGGAATAAAGGGGGACAGTTTACAGAACCTTCTCAGTTTATGGCTTCTTCAATCAAACAAGAGAACAATCCAAATTAAAAATAATGTTTAACATAAAAAAAAAATCTTTGCTTTTGGTTAACGACCTCCCTTAACCTCTTAAAAAAGATAAAATTTAGTTTTCTCAAAATCCCTGTATATAAGTACTCCCTATGTGTTACGTGTTAATACCTGATACTCCACATAAACAGAACAGTCTGAAAGATCAGAACCTGGGGTCAGGAAACCTACAGTCCCACCACTCTCTCAATCTTCACTTCTTTTCAGTATTTTTTCATAGCTATGATTTATACTAATTCATGTACACATTTTGTTATAGTGTATTTTCCCACATTAAGGCACTCTTAAAATGCTAATATATTTTAATGACCACAAGAGTCTGAGTGGCAGTTTAATTTACATTGAAGCCACAATGAACTTTTCTCTAGTAAAAATAATCATGTAACAAACTTTTCTAAATACATAGATTTTCCCAAATTTTCAACTGAATCCTTTTGTTTTGGTTTTTTTCCTTACAACCTCTTTATTCCTTTTTCTGCTTATTCATTTTTTTCAGTAAACTTTTTCTATTGTTGTGCTGGGTGAGGGGTACATTGTGGCATTTACAAAAGTTCTTACAATGTATTAAATATATCAACTGAATCCTTTGCATAAATTCCTAAAATAAAGATCAATGTGGGGCTAAGCATTTAAACATTTTGTCTTTTGAAATATTGCACAATTCATTTCCAATAACAGGCAATATTATTTTGCCAGCTTCCTGTCAATCTTATAGTAGGTACTTTATATTCCTAATAGGATGACAAATTGATAGAAATGTTCTGGAAAACATTTGTCGGTGTATACGACAAGGGTGAATATTCTTTTGCTTGAATGTTACATACGTATGAAGACAGCATAATGAAACTCACCAACCACTGTTCAAGAGAGGGAAGAGGGAGAGTGGAAATAGGAATATAACACAGTAGGTGAACTTGTTCGAGGTACACTATACACAAGTATAGAATTATCATAATTAAATCCCCTCATTATTAATGTGTGATAAATCAAAAGTGAAAAATTTAAAAAACAAAAAGACAGAAATAGGTATGGCTACTACACACACACACACACATCAACCTATCAGTGGTGATGAAAACAGAAGCTTCCGTATTCTAGTCTATACATTTCTATACTGCTTCAATTTTTGACAGTGATCATATGCTCAGGCACTAATTTTACAAATAAAAAATAAGGAAAAAATAAGAGTAGAAAATATGTGGAATGGAATAAAAGGATAGAAAGATTGAATCAAAACAGGGAATTTGATTTATACTCAATTTAATGCTTAAAATTAATTATAAGGAAGGCACCAAGAATCTCATAGTCTGGTACTATGCTGAAAAATCAAGCAATGAAGATATCAGAATTTATTATGAAGAAGGGGAAAGGCACGAACCTTTGTTTTCAGAGAGATTTACAGATTTTTGTAAGTTCCAGTGCTTGCTACTACTTGATACTTGTACTATGTGGAATTCCTTAACACCTGCTTCACTCTGTCAGAAAGATACAGAAAGCCATTCAGAATTCAGGAGCATTAAAATAAAGTATTTCAATGAGAACAATATTCCTATGCTACCAAAGTCAATGTCAATTAACATTAGATGAAATTTTTATTTTGAAATAGTGACAATATACATTTCAGAAAGTTTAAATTCCTAACATTCTTAAGACAGAGAAGACAACATTTTACCCAAGAAATATTTTTAACCATAATGCACACCCAGTGGTAAATTTAAAAAACCAAAAAAAACCCTGAAAGGCACTAAGTAATTAGAATCCATCATAATTTTTGATAGTATTGAATAGATGAAAAGTAATCTGTTGTCAATTTTTAATCAAAACTATGGTGTTTTCTCTTTTTATTTCTTCTGATCTTTTAAAGATATCCAATTCCCAGTAAGTTAGAAAAACAAATAACTGTTCAAGTATGGTGGTACACATTTGTAATCCCAGCACTTGGGAGACTGAGCAGGATTCAGAGTTGAGGCCAATCTGGGCTACACAGCAAGACTCTATACCCCTCTCTCCCAAAAAAAAAAAACAACAAAAAAAAAAAACCAGCAAAACCCTACAAAACAGAACCTCAATATACAGACAATACAAATGAAGCTACTTAAACTGTAACAAACATACTAATTCTTTTGAAGATCACCAAAGTATCCCAATACAATCTAAATATTCCTTAAAAAAGTGACTTTACAAATTTATGAAGAAAAAGCAGAGGGTATTACAGAACTAATAAGTAACATTTCAAGTAATTGTAAATCAATCTGAGGCTAAGGTCTTATATTTAAGAGATCACACTCCCTTCTTCAAGAATACTGATTTTGATATTTAGAGTCCATAAACAGCATTTTTAAAATAGACGGAATAGTACTGTTATAAATGTATAAATGTAAATGAAGTATTACTAAGTTACCCTTTCACTCAGAGACAGACTGAGCAGACCGGGGTACAGCTCAAGTGGCAGAGTGCTTGTCTAGCAAACCCAAAGCTCTGAGTTCAAGGCCCAGTGCCCCACACCTAAATTTCTAGCTTATGCTGTTTTGTGACTGAAAAAACAGACAAAAACAAAGCACACATTTGAAATATAATTAAAAACAAAACTCAGCTGTAAAACAACTTACAGTATTTGTATTTTCCACATCCACAAAGACTAACATATTGCCTCCTCTGCCTTCTTCATCATCAAGTGAATTACTTCTACAGACAGTGGCGCGAACATTTAAAGATCGACTGGTACAAATAACTGCAGTATGCCTTAATATTCTGTGTCTGGAGAAGTAAATTATATTCAAATATAATCTAAGAGCATTATTCACTGCTACAATTCTCTAATTTCAAATAAAAATTTAAAAAATTGAAAACTCAGGACCACTTATTACTCTAGAAAAACAAAGAAGAAAACAATCAAGTAAAATTATATAGTTAGCCTAAACTGAGTGCAATTCTTTCTTCTGAGTTTGGAAGGACTCCTTGAATCTAGGCTTGCCCCCTGGTCATCATATTCATCTGTGTAATCCATGAAAATAATCTTCGTGAAGTAATATCTGACTTCACATTTTCTCTTGGTAGTGGTCCCAAAATTACTGAACAACTAACCAAGCAAAAATCAAACTTCTGCTGGTGGAATGGCTCAAGTGATAGTGTCTGTCTAGCAAGCGTGAGGCCCTGAGTTCAAACTCAGTACCATTTAAAAAAAATGAAACAAAGTTTTAACTTGACATTCAGAGCTCTCCACCACATAGCATTACATTTCAAAGGTTTACTCTCCTTTACTTCTTTCACGCAAAGTTTTACTGTGGCTTAAATCTACCTATATTCAGTTCATATTCTCTAACTTACAAATCTTTGTTCATAGATACAGCTACTTCCCACAATATTTATGCCCTGCCCCCTTCATATCCAAATCCTGAAACCTTTACTGTCCTTGGAAACTAATTTCACCACTACCACACTCTACAAAGCTTCCTTGGCCAGATTACTTCCTCTCTGAATCATCCAAGAACCTAAAATGTACCCATACTTACAAAAATTATCCCATTTTTGTTCTCACAGTAAGTTTTACAAAATATTTTTAGATATTCTGTTGAATAAAATAAATGTAGCAGAATTATTCCTAGTTAATTTTGTAAAAATGACAAAGGCACTATTATAAATAAAATACTCTTGTTGGTGGAGTGTCTCAAGTAGTAGAGTACCTGCCTAGCAAATGTGAAGCCCTGAGTTCAAAACACAGTACCACCAAAAAAAATTTTTAAATAAAATATGCTGCTGTGCAATATATAAGCCCCAAATTCTGATGGGCCAGTTAGGTTTGATTTCCTCAGTCACCACCTACTATAATACCACTTTAATCATCTGTTCTGAAAATATTGTACATACATTTTCCTTTCATGTATTCTAGTGGGAAGGTTAAAGGAAAAAATATTTTTTTAAAAGAATGACTACATATACAAATGACATCCTATTTAATTAATGGTACTGTTAATTTCATTATTATGTGATAATTTTGAACATGGTAATAAGTCATATTAAAGAAACATGGAGTTTATAGATAGAAGCAACTAAAAAGTTAATGTAGTTAAATTATTTTCCACTTCTGGTTGCCTAAAATTTAGTTGTATTTGGGACTTTAGATATAAAAATCATGCATAATTTTGAAGAGGATAATTTTTTAATAAACAATGATGCATGTTAGTGAATGTCAAAAAATTTACCCAAATATGTGTACATATATTTAGCATAGAGCTTAAGCTTTAACATTTTTATAATACTCACCGTATTTTAGGCTGCTTTTTAACACTTTCATAGTAAAACAAAAAATTAATTTCATGTACACCTTCTTCATCTGGGCCCCGTAACCACATTGGCAGCTGGACTGAAGCTCCAGGTAAAAGAACAGTGTCAGGAAGGGGAACTGGAATCACCTCTGGCTGACTTCCTAAGCCAATGCCAAAGTCCACAGAAGAAGCTGAAGATGTGAGTGCTATACACATAGAGGTAGAGTCTGTCACAACAGTCTTATAAGCACTACAGTTTTCAGAGGCCGAGGGGCTCAGCGGTGTGAGAATAGCAGTATTCCCACCAAAAGTAAAGAACTCTGGACGTTTAGAAACAACCTTCAATCCAGTAAGAGGACATTTGCTGACATTGACAAATTCTACGTATGCTTTTCGGATTTCTCCACAGAGGAGCCCTGTAGGAAAATGTATAAAGAACACCTGTATTGGAGGGAAAAAATATTATTATATTGTCTGTTAAAAATTTTGAACCTCTAATAAGTAACACTTTAAGATGCTGCATTTCTTACTAAAGGTGTAGGTATTTTTCATTAATTCGGTTTGATATCTCTTTGGAAATATAGCAGTTAACTCTATTTTAGAAAATACATTAAGATGAAGAGACCAACGTTACTTTGCCACTCAGATTTTGAGTTATGAATTAAAGGAAAAATGTCAATAACAAAAAGGCTACCATGTCAAACTTTCACAACACTGTAGATTATAAACCATATCCCAAAAATAACAAAAGAAAAGCTCAAGTGGTAGAGATCCTGCCTAGCAAGTTCAATTCCTAGTACTACCAAACAAACAAACAAAGACTGTTGAATTCTACAGAGTTGAAAATCAAAGACATTATCTTGGACTGGGTATGGTGGAGCAGGACTGTAATCCCAGCAAAGACTGAAGTAGGAGGATCTCAAGTTCCAGGCCAACCTGGGCTATATAGTGACTTTCAAGCTAGTCTGAACTACATAAGCAAGACAGTGTCTGGGAGAAAGGAAAAAAAAAGGTTATCATTTAGTTCAACTTTCCTCATTTCTAAGGTCAGATAATTAGCCTAAAAGTAAAGTTCCTCCTACAACAATGCTATCTGAGAAGCACTGCGTTTTAAAAACTACTTGTATATTTAGCATTTTAATAATTGAAGACCATTTAAGTGATATGGTTTAATGAAAGTTATAAACTAGTAGATTCATTTAACAATGTGTATTTTGGTGTCCTCAACTAATTATTTTGACAACTATAGTGATCAGAATGTTCCCTTCAGAAAATAAGCCCTCACAAATTTTTACTTACATAATTACTAAACAAATATCTACTAATTAGGTAATGGTTGTTTACCCAAACAACCCTAAAATAACATTTGCATTCTAGCTTATTTCATTTCATCTTCAGTGTTTTAACCCCTAGCAACAGCAACGCACTATTAATAAAAATTATTATTGTGGGAACTTGACAAGCTTGGACAAAAGTATACAGAAAAAAGAAAAAAATGAAAGCTTCTTTGAGAGATTTGGCTTGCCAGCCTCCCTCCACCCCTGCCAAAATATAAGATAAACCAACAGTATGGTAATGACACAGAAATAAGGAAATGTTATTGAAAAGAACAGGTAGCATACAAAGAGACAGTCATGGGTACTTTTCAGCATGTCAGTAAATAGAAAGATAGTATGAGCTGCCCATACTGTATCACTGGTACTGAGACTAGAAACAAAGTTTGTAGTCTACTCCCTTGATATTCAAAAGAATTTATCTCTTGAATTTAAAAAACACAGACACTAAAAAGTAAGATCAGGACTAGAGAGTATGGCTCAGTAGTAGAACAGGAGAGACCCTGGGGTTTGATCACTAGCACCACAAAAATAAACGAATGAATGAATGAATCGATCAATCTATCAAATAAAACTGTCAATCTTGAGTAGGAAGTCTCTGTTAGTAAATATAAAGCTTAAAAACAACAAAGTAAAAGAACACCAGCTATTACTTCTGATAAGTAACAAAACCTCAACATGGGGCTGGAGGTGTGGCTCAAGTGGCAGAGTGCCTGCTTTGCAAGCGTGAAGCCCTGAGTTCAAACCCCACCCACAGGGGGAAAAAAAAAGTCAACATGTGGAAAGATACCACATGAAAGTTAAAATTTGTACCAAATATTTATCAACAAGAAACTGGAACTTAGGCACATTTGATTTCATTTGCCCTACAAACTCTTTAATTACAACATAATTAAACAAGTATCAAAACTGGGCAGAATACATGTAGCTCAATCATACACTCCTCTTAATACATACACAGCACCACCACCATCCATCTTAATTTTCATGTGTAGTCTGATACTGCTTATAATTATTAAAACTGTATTTATATACAGTATACACAAGGAAAGGTCTTTAAACATAAAATACCAATCTGGAATCACAATATTGGCCCCTTGTGGAGGTAGATTGCTACACTTATTAATTCTCCTTTCAGGAGAAAGAGTCTCCTTCCAGTGTTCACATTTGTAACTTCTATGATATGACCCTGACTTTTGGTACTACCATCCAAGATGAGCCAGATTTTTCCCCCTAATCTTAGCCTCTCAAGCAGCTAGGATTACAGGCATGAACCACCAGAGCCTGGCTTTTTTCTTTCTTTTTTTTTTTGTAATACTAGGGTCTGAACTGAGGGTCTCTCACTCGCTAGGTGGGAGTTCTACCACTTAAGCAACACCCCCATCCCTTTTTTGGGAATTTGTTTTTCAGACAGGGTCTCGTATTTTTGCCCAGGGCTAGCCTCAGACCATGATCCTCTTACTTATGCTTCCCAAGCAGCTGGGATTACAGACATGTACCACCACTGCCAACCCTGTACTGCTTATATTTTCTATAAGCATTCATTCATGTATTATTCTTATAAGTAACAAAAAGGAGTCATTGATTTTAAATAACCAGTGTTCTGTTATAAATGTTTCCCAAATTTCCATTAATTTTCCCCAGAACTGGGGAAGGAACTTAGGGCCCCGAGCATGCTAGGCAAGCGCTTTTATCACTTGAGCCACACCCTTAGCCCATGATTAGTATTTCAAGGCTACATTTTATAACCTGGCTGTTACAATGTCAATCTGCAGGACCACCGTAGTTTTATAAATCAGACCTACTTAGCAAGCTTAGCAATAGTTTAAAAGCAGAACTCACTGGGACACTGGGGCTCACACCTGTAATTCTAGGTACTAAGAGGCTGAGATTGCGAGCATCACAGCTCAAGGCCAGTCAGGACAAACAGTTCTCGAGACTCCCATAACCAAAACTAACCAGAGCAAAATAGACTAGAAGCGTGGCTTAAGTTATGTAAGCGTGAAGCCCTGAGCTCAAACCAGAGTCTTACCAAAATAAATGAATGAATGAATGAATGAATGAACAAATGTAGGGCTCAATGTATTATCAAACAACCTCAAAGTCTAAAATTAATTTCTTTGAAATATCTAGCCTCATAAATGGTATTTTAAGAAATGAAATACCTCCAGTAGTGGCATTTCTTCAGTGATTATAGGATCTAAACGTCGATCAGGACCATATTTAATAGATGTTTTCTCTTCTTTTGTGTTGTTAAGTCGAGGACCTTGAATTTCTAAATCCTGTCTCCCTCGCACTGACATATTCAAGGAATGCTTTCCTGAAATAAAAAACAAGCAATACCCTAAAAAAATTTGACATGTTAACTATACTAATTTAACTTGAATATATGAATACTCTAAGTTTCATATAATTGCTAAAAATAGTCTAGACAATTATTAACATAATTATCAAAGAACTAAGTATATTTTCATCCCATGTAACATATCAACTATGATATGTTGCTTAATTAGTTTTGGATTTACTTATATTGCAAAAAGACTATGCATCACCGAATAGGAAGTCCTTTGAAATCTAAGTTTTATAGACCATAATATTTAATAACCAAAAATATAGGAAAGAATGGCAATTTTGGGCCCAATATTTGATATGAGCCATGAGAAGATAATATATGTATGTATCTTTTTTTTCAAATGAAAAAAAATCCAAAACACAGAAAACAGGTCAACTTTTCACTTTTATTCATATTCAAATATACAGGTTAATTTGAATTATTTCTGTATTAAAAATAACTACATCTTCTTAAGAGACTGAACAAAGAAAATTAAATACAGTACAGATAGTTTTCTTTTAACTTACTTAATATCCATATGACATTTTCCCAAAGGCTTCCATGCAGTACTTACATGTGTGAAAAAGTCCTGTGGGACTAACCAAGAACTTTAATGTGCTGAAAGACACTGATGGTTCCAGACTGGATCTAGAAAGCAGTATTTCTCACACTTCATTTGACTCAGATCCCTACTAGCATTTTACATAAAAATGAACTACATGAAAACTCTGCTTAAAAGATGGGACTTATTTTAATAACTAACTCATGGTCTCCACCTACTAATGTCATGCAATAACAATTTATAATATCAATACATATATTTGGTACTCCAAGTGAAACAATTAGCTATATTTTATTGACAACCACAATTCTGTGGTGCTAAATCAAAGTAATATTTATAGATAAATAGGAACAGAGCTTCAAAAAGTTCTTAACACCTAGTTATCTTGCTTTAAAAATGCAAAAAATTTTCAGGATTATTTACAAATAAACCTTGTCTGGCACTTGTAAAACAAGAAATACATATTGAAATGCAGAACATCACACTCAATTTTAGTGTGAGTTTTTTGTTTGTAAGTTTTACATTCACATAGATTAATTCCATTTCTATTTATTTTTAAATTTTGTATTGAATTATCTTAGATAGCCAGCCAAGTAAAATTATTCAACTGAAAGTTAAAAAGATTAACAAGTTTCCCAAAATTAATCAGCTTTTATAAATGCTACATTCATGCCTATCAATGACAAGTCAACTTAATTTGTTACAAAATAAGACACATCTATTAAAATGGAGTGCTGAAGTAGAGGGTATTATAGCAAACTCCCTTCCTAGCATCTTTTCAAACTAAACTCCAACAACTTCACACAGTAATTACAAGGTAATATTAAATCTTTTCAGGTTTTTTAATTAAGAAATAAATAAGTAAATTATGTTGATGTTTACAGTTTAACACTAAAACCCTACTCTCTTTCATGGTAACAGAATTTCAAAACCCAGAGCCTCATGTGCGCTACACAAGTACTCCACCACTTAGCTATATCCCAGCTCTTATTTTATTTTTATTTTGAAACAGGGTCTTGGTCAATTGCCCAGGCAGGCGATGAAGTAGCAATCCTCCTGCTATAGCTTCCCAAATAGCTCAGATTATGGAGGTGTGAGGCACTGTGCCCTGCATCAAGTGTTGAATATTCAATGATACAGGAAACACTGGTCAGTCTTCTTCCATGTTTTATAAAAAGGATGTATTCAAAAAATGTGCTAAGGTGATTTTTGTTTTGACAGTAGACATTTCAATAATAGAATTTATATGATTAGAATCTATTGGGATCAGTAACACAAAAGAAAAATACACATAGTAGAGTCTAAGAATTATAAGAAAATACATCAAAAGGGAATAAAGTTATTTTTGAAGGTATGGAAGAAGTTAAAAAAATCTAAACTTAGAAAAAAAACAAAAAGAAGGAAGATAAAATTTAAAAAGTAAAATAATCTAAATTAGTTATTCTTACATGTGCCTAAATGTCTTTATCTAAAGGTGCATTAGACCTATTTAGAAAACAGGTCATTTTCATTTGCAGTATTGCATGAAATGGCTTAAGTGTTAGTTTTCTGATTACTTGTAATACTATAGCTTTACCTGTGTGACATCCAGAAAGAGAACCAATGCCATCTACTGTCATGGAGCCCTGAACAGTGCCGAGATCATAAACAACTCCCAGAATATGCAGCTCCCCTACGTGATGGGGAAAGAGCTTTAGTCTTGCCTGTGGAAATATTTAAGTCATTCTCATTATGTCCTCATAATATCTTAAATAGTGAAATACCTAAATTCTGTAATATTGCAGAAATATTAACCCATGACCTAAACTTTTAAAATACCAAATTTTCCTTTTGAAAAGTATCTATTTTTAAAAAAACTAAATGCAACAATTATAGGGTTAGCTCCTCAACAATACTTTTAACAAAAATCAAAATAATTCTGTTCAACTAAGTATGCAAATTCACCACACTAACAGCAAGAAAGTGAAAAGTTTTGATCAAGCTTCTCAGGAAATTAAATCAAAGACCACTACTAACCTACTTTTCCCACATTTCTTCCTAAGCAATTCCAGCTTCCTAATCTTCCAAATTTAGGTCTTACAAAAACTAGAACATATAACATCTGAATAAATTGAGCCGATTATTAAATTTGTTTCTAGCTTACTTTCAGAAAGGCAAAAGACAGAAACGATAAAACAATTACCACTTTAGATTCTTCACTATTAATTAAGAATTCAGAAATAACTTCAGTTCCAATCATTCCAGGTTCACCTATAACCTAAAAAACAAATTATTTATAAAAATAGGCATTCTAATGAATAAAATATCAGATTATTAACATCATTATAAACCAATACATAGAAACAAAAATACTAACCAAATTTAGTATTTCTAGGTTCTTACATGAGCTATGCTCTATGTGAAGCATTTATTTGCATACTTGGATTAGAGCCATGCTGTGGTAGGTACTTGATAAATATTTTTAATTTTGTTCAGTCAAATCAGCTGAAGAGGATAAGAATCTATTCAAAGATTCAGTTACCAAAAGAATAAAATCCCAAGAGAAAAATTTCAATTGCTCTGTCAACATTAGCCACAATAGTATTTTAATATTGTAATAATGCAAAAATCTACATTTTTTTGCTCCAACCAGCCTCTTTTTCCACCTGGCCAATAATACTTAGAAAAGATGCTGGAAGCATAGGCACGATACAGAAAGACATGTGGACAATAAAAGTACTGAGAGGGCTAGCGGAATGGCTCAATTTTTATAGTGCCTTAATAGAAAGTGAAGTCCTGAGTTAAAACTCCAATACTGTCAAAAAAAAAAAAAGAGTAGTAGGAGAAAGAAAGGCTTCCAATGATATCCATAAAAGCTAACTGGTTTATACTAGAGGTAAACTTGATCTTCACAAACATTATTTTACTTTTACTATGAAGTCAGTTATTTGACACAAAAACCACAAATTACACCTTCCTAAATTCCAGTTCAGCATCTTAATCCATCAGCAGAAGCAGCTCACAAAGAAATGTTGAGTAAGGCAGAGGGTGTGAGGATAAGGTCAGCCTGGGTCATATAGCAAGACAGAAAGGAAAGAAATGGAAGGAAGGAAGGAAGAGAAAGAAGGGGAAAGAAGGAGAAAGGGATGGAGGAAGGACTCTAGAGTTGAAACTTATAGGAAAAAGTACAACTATTTTAAAAGTGCTAAAAGTTTTCATTTACTAAATCTCCTTTAGAATCCAACATATTAAACAGGCTAATATACTTAAAAAGATAATAGAGCTTTTAAAAAAAAACTTATCCTACCTTCACGTTTCATACTCTTCTAAATAATTTAACATTCATAGTTAGTATAACATATATGTTCTTCCAAGTTCTCTTCCTAGACCAGCACTACAATGCTGGCTTATTTTCTGTTCCCATAATAATTTTTTTCACATTATTAAAACATTTAGCAAAGTAGTACATGGAATTAAAAGTTTGTTTGGTTTTTTTTTGCAGTAGTAGGGCTTGAACTCAAGGCCTACAACCTTAAGCCACTCTGCCAGCCCTTCTTCTGCAAAGGGTTTTTTCAAGATAGGGTCTTGTGAACTATTTGCCTCGGGGTGGCTTCCAACTGTGATCCTCCTGATCTCTGCCTCCTAAGAAACTAGGATTATAGGTGTGAGCCATAGCAACCAGTGGAATTAAAAGTTGTACTACATATACCGCTGAATATAAATTAGTAAATTAAAAAGTATATTTCAGCCAGGCATGGTGATGCATGCCTGTAATCCCAGTTCTCGGGAAGCTGAGGCAAGAGAATCATGAGCTTAAAGCCAGCCTGGGCTATATAGTGTTTGTGGTGAGCCTGGCTATACAGTAAAACCTTGTCTCAAAATTATAATCATAATGATGATGATGATATGTGTGTGCATGTGTCTAACTTATATGTTACCATCAGCTGGCTAACAAAAATTATTTGTTCAAGTCATACCTGTTATAAAAATAACTATCTTAAGCCAATGTGGAGGCACAAGCTGATGTGATGTCACAGGCCTATAATCCTAGCACTTAGGAGGCTGAGTCAGCAGGTCTCCTAGACTACAGATTGAGACACTATCTAAAACAAACAAACAAAAAACTACTTTAAATATGCAAATGGTTTATTATAAACATTAATATGAAAAGATGAATATATATGAATTCACAAAACAAGAAATAAAATCTGTGTGTGGCGGCACATAGCTATAATTCCAGCACTGGGGAGGCTGAGGGAGGAGAATGGAGAGTTCAAGGCCAGAGCAGACTAATAAAACCTTTTCTGAAAACCTAACAATAAAAAGAAATATGAATACAAGAACTTCATCTTTATTAGAAATCAATGAAATGGAAAACAATAATAGTAACAGGGAATTTTTTACCTGTCAAATCAATACTGGTATTTTTGTAAATAATAATGTTTAATGTTAGGACTGGTGGAGTGGTTCAAGTGGTAGAATGCCTGCCTAGCAAGCATGAGGCCCTGAGTTTAAACCCCAGTACCACAAAAAAATAATAATAATGTTTAGTATTGCAAGTATCAGATGCTCAACTCCATATGCTGTTAATGAGGTCATTCGCATAACTTCTAGTGAAACTAACAGGGGATTAAAGTATTTATTCCCTAAAATCTTATAACATCTAGGAATCTTTCCTAAAGAAAATAATCTGAAGGCTAAAAAGCTAGCCAGGCACTGGTAGCTCACACCTGAATCCTAGCTACTTGGTAAGCTGAGATCCAGAGGATCATGGGTCTAGGCCAGTGTGGGCAATAGTATGTACCTATCTCCAAAATAACCAGAGCAAAATAGACTGAAGATGGGGCTCAAGCAGTTAGAGCATCTGCTTTTCCAAATGTTAAGCTCTAAGTTCAAACCTTAGTCCCACAAAAAGAAAAAAAAACAAAACCTATGCACAAAAATATTCAGCACTGGGGCTAGAGATGTACTTCAGTGGTAACATACGGTAAGGCCCTGGGTTTGATCTCCAGCCCTGCCAAAATAAAAATAAAATAAATTCATGCACAATTACTGTGGTAGTAAACAAGGAAACCTCCAAAGCATCTACCAATGGTAGAATAACTTCAGAATCATTCAGAGGATTATGTAAAAATAAAATATTAATGATATTTTAGTATTAGAGAATGCATATTAAATAATAGAGAATGAAAAGGCAACATATACAATATAAGGAAATCCCAAAGACAAGCAAAAGCCATACAAATGGAAATGATTGAATGACACACAGCAAAATGTTAAAGTGGCTATTTTTTCTAGATAGTTAAGAAATTTTACATTTATACTTCATGTTTTTTCTGATTCTTTCAAATGTCAACACTAAAAACAAATACATTTTAAAAGTAGGCAAAACAAGAGTAAGTACAATTCACTGCACAGAAGCAGAAAAGTTAATACAGCATCTATTAGGCTATAACTGAAACATGCTTATTACAAATACCTTTTAATAACTTACTAGTTCTCTAACTTCTTCATTATCCTTTCCACTGACATCTTTAGGATGAAACTTCCACAGCAGTGACAAATCAGTCAACAAAAGTGGAACTTTCAAAGGGTTTCTAAAAGCTACTTCCACTGTAATTGGCTCTGTAAAAGAAAGGTCTACATCAATAACTTTGGTAAACCTCATACCTCACCCTAACTTCAAACCCCGCTTGCTTTCATGACTGACTGCATTTCTGCCCAGACTCTTCTTTACCACCTTATAAAGGTCTTTTTAGTTAGAATTCAGCTTTAAAATTACCTCTTCAAGAAAACATCCTCTATTTCTCTGTAAAGAACGTCATTCTTTAAATACTCCAGCATCACATTGTCTATACCTGCATTAAAGCTCCCAGTATTTGGAATTATACATGCAGCTCAGTAAACTGTGAGTTTCTAACTTATTCTGCATTCCCAGCCCTCCAGTAATATGTGACATACTCTAAATTATCTTGAACCTGCTGTAAGTAAAACAAACAAAAACAAATAAAAACTCAAGTATATCACCTTCCACAACTGCCAGTGGAAATCTGGAGTTATCTGAGTAATTGTTCAAACAGTATTGTGTGGGATGAAAATTGGTTGGAATTACTCCTTTGTTAACCACAGCCACTACTTGTTCCTCAAGTTCTCGCCACTGCTGAGAAGATTCAGAGTCATATTCTTGATCAAGACTTACATGAGTAGCTGCTTGCTTTTCACCTTTAAAAAAAGTGTCACAATACACATTCATGAACACTTGTCCTAAAATAAGAACCAGAGGTATCCAGGTAAATGAGCATGCGCGTGCGCACACACACACACACACACACACACACACACACGGCTACTTCTAATTCTTTAAGAGGAAATTATAAAAATGTCTTCTCATTAGCCCTAGACTAACTAGAACATTGCTTATAGTATTAATATTCTTTTCCTTCTAACTCCAAAAGAATGCTTTTTCTCTAGCTTCCACAAACAATTTTTATATGAAGTACCTTAAACCTATAGAAAAAAGCATAGAAAATAATACAGGAAATGCTTATACCCTAAAAATTGTAAATGTCAACTCTTATCAGATGTGTCTGGGATCACAGGTAAGAGCTGATCCCCTATCTTTCCCAATTCTATTGCTCTCCTCACCCCAACTGGCATACTTACTCTCAGAGTTATTATGAAATTGAAGTTTATCACTCTTACCCATGTTTGGTTTTCTTTTTTGCAGTACTGGGTTTGAACCTGGGGCCTACACCTAGAGCCACTCCACCAACCCTTTTCTGTGAAGGGTTTTTTTGAGATAGGGTCTCGCAGAATACTTGCCCAGGCTGCCTTTGAACTGACATCCTCCTGATCTCTGCCTCCTGAGTAGCAGGGATTACAGGCATGAGCCACCAGCACCCAACACCCACGTTTACTTTTTAATTTTACCACATGTGTATACACATGAACAATGCATAGAATGAGTTTGTGTATTTATATATAGATGAATTTTTTCATACATTATATTGTATTATCCATATTGAAACATGTAAAATTAGTTTACCCATGTGAACTAATTCCATCAGTTTAACATAAATAAATCCATTATTTGAACACATCAAAATACACTGACTCATTTTCTGCTATTAGGAATTCTAGTTGTTTCACATTTTGCTATTAAAAAAATACTGCATGAGCCAGGCATAGGTGACTCACACCTGTAATCCTAACTACTCAGGAGGCAGAGATCAGGAGGATTAAGATTTGAAGCCAGCCCGGGCAAATGGTTCATGAGACTCTTATCTCAAAAATACCAAACATAAATAGGGCTGGCATAAAATGTGACTCAAGTAGTGGAACACCGGCCTAGCAAGTGCAAGGTTCTGAGTTCAAACCCCAGTACCACTAAAAAAACCAAACTGCCATTAACATGATAAATATTTTTTTAAAAAAACACTAGATTTCATGGAAAAATAACAATTAAATTCAAATATAAGAATATTGGAATTAAAATTTTCACTTCAACATACCTCAAGAGCTTTAATATGTTTAAAGTTTTGTTTTGGTAGCACCATTTCAAAGTTCAATTCCAAGAAAATAATCCTTTAAAAAAAAATAGTCTCACAACAAGAAGAGTAGAACATGGCTAACTGTTCTATCCTTCTGTATAAATTAACAATTTTTAGTAAGAAAAAGTTAAATGTCCATAACAATATGACTTTATACAACCAAAAAAGATGGAAGCAATCTAACTATAATGAGGGAATGTTAAAGTGCTTTCTATGCTCTGACTGGAGTATCTTATTAACATTAAAATGCTAAGATCATAATAATGACCATCTTTTACATTATGTGAAGAAGGACGTAAGTATAACTGCTTTTATTACTTTTAGCTTTTAGGCTGGAAGGAAAAACATGGAGTAGTGCTTATCTTCAGATGGCAGGACAGAAAGTGAAGTGATATAATTATTTATTTTCAAATATTCAACTACCCATCATTTTTTAAATAGAAAAAGAAAAGATCTTTAAAAGTAGTCACTAGGTAACTAGGCCAAGTGAAACTTTACTAACCATCTGCTGGTCGTCTATCATGGCCAAAGAAAACCCGTGTGGCTGAGCTGTTAATGTATGGTAAAGGGAGCTGTGGTAAAGGGCCATCTGGTGACAGCTGACTCACATTCTGAAAGAAATACAAAACAAAAAAGGAACTGTTGCAAGGAAACTACATTTTCTTCTTATACGTTCCCTTATTTTTTAACACACAGATATTAAAAACATGATAAATAAAAATAGTAAGACATATTAGTGTTATTTAGTATCAGTCATTAAATTCTGCAACTGAGAAGACCTTTAAGTACCATTTTTTCTGCATCAAGAAAACTTCCAAAGGCTACTTTAGTTCTCTTCAACTTCCAAATGTTATTTTTATATACATTTTACTTTCTATGACTCATTACAGCATCCTACCTGCCAAAATTCTAACCCTTCTAACCCATATAATTTCAAATTAATAAAGTATAAGGAGTAGCTATTTTCTGCAATATGGATATAATATAATCTATTCGTTAGGTCTTGGAGAAAATTACAACTTACTTTTGCCACAAAAATCAAATCAATGCTTTATATTTTCTACCTTCCTGTCTCAGTGAAATATTCTTTCAATTAATTTTTCTAAGTTACACCACAATACTTCCCACAGATCCATACCTCTTCATCTTTCATATGAAAAAGAATGTATGCATTTTGTAAAAACATGATGATCCTATAAAAACATGATGAAGAAACTGTACAGAAAGTTTGCGGCATCTTTTTAAAGATTCTAAGAACAGTCACAAATCAAATGTTTACTGAAACATTAACATTCTCTTAAAAACTGTGGAAGAGGCAATTCAATGGAGATCTGTGACCAAGAAACTTAGCCTTCCACAACTTTATTATGATAGATTATTACATACATTCTAATAAAACCATTTTATTATACTCCTATTAGATAGTAAAGAATATGCTTTTTGCTGAAAATAATGACTTAAAACAATCTTAGAATTTATTTCTGAAAAGAAGTATTCACCTTATAAACATAAAGATATTCTCTGAGGAAGGCCCCTTGTTGAGCAGCAGATTGCTTACTTTCATTGATTAAAATATGCCTAAAAGCAGACACAGCATTGTCCAGTTGCCTAAGAGTATAGGATTGGCGCCCAATTGTGAAGTTAATGTGATCCTCTGCAAGAGACCAGCCTTTTCCTTTATAAACTTGCATGGCTTGACAATAGCAGCGTAAAGCATGCTTTTTCTGAAAGAAAAGAAACAAAATGAAGTGTTATAATTCAAATTTGTCTTGGACTGGAAAGAATAAACACACAGACACATAATAACTTGCTCACCCTCTAACAGAGAACAGGATAATGAAGAAAATGAAACTAACATATAATTATGTAACTCAATTACACAATTATATCTGGAATGATAGAGATTAAGTTTCCTCAACTATCCAAAAATGTGTGTGTGTATGTGTGTGAGAGAGAGAGAGAGAGAGAGAGAGAGAGAGAATGGTGTAGAAAATACAAAGGAAGATAAAGAGAGACCAGTCTACCCTGATATATAGCCTGTATTTCTCTGAGCAGCATCTTAAAAAGGTCAAATTCAGAGGGAAGTCCACACCTCTCAATTTAGTTTTATTTATTTGAAATTCTTTCTGGGAGGATACACATAAATAATTTTCAACATATAAAATGAATAGATTTTGCTAACATTATGATGACAAACATATTTACACTGTACCTAGACACATACTATGTTTTCAAAGAATTTTTTCTTACCAAGCAAAACAAATACTTTTTCAAACTCTTTTTTTCTCTTGCCTACAACCAAAAACATGCATTGAATTTACTTGGCCATATCTACCATGTGATGGCACAGATTTACATGATGTATAAATCAATATTATTTTCCTACTAACAGTCATATACTGTTCCAGTCATGCTGACCCCTGCCTACCCACTAGCCACAATTCACTGGCCAGTGCTGTGACCAACATGAGGTGGTACCTCACACTGTTCAGGGGGCCAGTGCATTTCTGATCTCTTAGAAAAGTATCTAACGAGATTTAAAAGTTGTAAGATTTTAAAGTCCACCTTTTATAGTCAATATAAAAAGATTATTCAGGTAATACCAAAGACAATCACATATACTCTCTTCAGAACTTTTCCTTTTTTTTTTTTTTTTAAATTGGGGTTTGAACTCAGAGCCTCACACTTACTAGCCAGGCACTCTACCACCTGAGTCATATTCCCAGTCCTTTAGTGTTGGGTGTTTTTGAGACTATATAATCTCCTCCCTCCTCTCTCATCCCTACAATCACACCCATTTTTTTAATGTCATAAAAACTTGGTGCTTCTCAGAAACATTTGTCCTTAGAATCATATGTGTTCTAAGGGTCCTACTTCCAAAAGAGACACTGATCTTGACCAACTTCAATACTATGTATATTGGCACTGCCAGCAGACCTGCATTTTTTATCATATTCTCACCGTCTTGAAAGAGTATACAGCATGATCAGAAAACAGCAAACCCAGACACCCTGTAATCATTAACTCTACAGGGTAACTACAATTAGAGATGATTATAAGGTCAGACAGCAAATGTATTGATAGCTACTACAAATGTAGTGTTTTTAACTTGCTGGTCATTTCCTAGAAGAAATATACCCTATAATTTAAAGGTGGAATACAAGCAGCTGTTTCCAGCTGCAAAGACACTATCATTCTCACAAATGAAAGCATTCACAAAAGAGGACAAACATGTAGTAAAAGAGGGCTTTTTTGATTTTATGATGTATGCTCAGCTCCTACCATAGTCCCTGGAACAAAGAGAGATTACTCAGCCCAAGCTTCTAACTCTATTTGGAGTAAACCAGTATCTCAATGATGCCCCTGCTTTCAGCCTCCAGCAAACTCTCTCCAACTAACTCATACAGGAACTGGAACTCCAGAAAGCTTTCTAAATCAACAGACCCCTCCAACCCAAATGCTTCCAGAAACAAGCAGTAGATTTCTACATATTAAATATTTTTAGTCAATACCATTGTAAAGCACCTTCAGAGACAACAGAAGATCAGAGCTCAAGTAGGGAACATTCACCCCTACTTGATGGCAAGAGTATCTGGCCTTTCACATATTTGGGTAAAATTATAAATCTTATACATAAAAAAACCTAAGACTCAGAAAAGTTAAGTAACAACAAAAGTCAAGTTGTGAGTGGAAGACTTAAACCCATTTTTGTCTAAAAACAAATCTCATGCTTTTAAGCAGGAGATAATACATTATCTCAGAACAAAATTTACTTCAACTTTTAGGATTGTTTTGGGGTTCTTTTTTGTTTTGTTTTGTTTTACAGCACTCCTGCTTGATTGAACTCAGGGTCTTCACCTTGAGCCACTCCACCAGACTTTTTTTGGTGACAGGTGTTTTCAAGATAGGGTCTCACAAACTATTTGCCGGGGCTGGCTTCGAACCTCTATCCTTTTGATCTCTGCCTGGTCTGAGTCTGTAGGATTACAGGCGTGAGCCACCAGCTCCCAACCTCTGTTAGGATTAATTTCACATCAGAAAAATTAACAATGATACATTATATAATAAATTAATGAGTAACAACTTTTTGCGTCTCAAAAAACTGTGCTCACCTGTCCAGCTTTACTAAACCGATGGCCTGCCAATATCATATGAAATGCGTATTTTCTAACCATGGGACTCTTCATGTTTATAAAGCAATGTGCCGCCTGTTCCAAGAGAAGTGCACTTCGAAGATCAGAATCCTATTTAATATTTAAAACAAACAAACAAACAAAACTATTAGTTTCATGAAATTAAGTTAACTGGTTAAAAGTATTTACTTTCTTAGTACATAGAATATTCAATGTTTAACTTAGAGTGTAAGAGGGCAGAGATAAAGGGACAAACCAATCTTGACTCTTCCAACAAGCACAAATTCCATTCAAAAAGTCTTCAAAAAATTGAACTGTTTTGGCTTTTCGTAAAAGTCAAATGCCTAATTATGATATGTACTATGCAACAAATCTCTGAAGAACTACAATCCCATCGCAAATGGCAAAAAGTATATAAACTGAGAACTTAAATACAAGTATGCTGATTAAAAAGAAACAACAAAACACAGAAAAAAATAGATTTGTACTCATCTAATTTCTTCTGGAAGGTACTCTGTGATTTCAATCCACCCACAAAAAAAAAGGAAAACAGAATGTGCAGATAATGAAATAAACTAATCTACTATTTTATTCTCTGTTAAGGTCTTTTTATATTTAAAAGAAACCTCAATTTTTGCTATAATTCTTAAGAGCCAAAATGACTGCTTTCCATTAAAAAGTTTAGAAGGCTTCGCCTTCAAAGATGATCTCTTCACAGTAAAACTCAAATTAGTTTCCAATTCAACTCCTTACAACAGAGCATCTACAAAACCCACATACTACATTACTACCACTCAAGAAGATAACCTTTCAAATAAGTCATCACTTTACAAATAACTGAGAAAGTACTGAAGTTGCTGATTAAATATCAACAACATTTTCTCCAAAACTTTCTCTAGGTTTTCAGCTATTCTCAAGCTGAACTTACCATGCCCTTCCATGTGTTCTGCTGCCATTATTTTCCCCAGGGAAAGTTGAAAACAGAAAACATTGACTTTAAATGCAATAATTTCAACAAATTTAGTTACATCAAAAAGTGTTCATGCGCCATTGATAATTATAAACTATCTCTAACAATCTTAAAACATTTGAAGCGAAATAGATCTGAGGAAGCTATCTACAACACATTCAGCAAATGGTAACTATTATTACTTCAACCCCCTCATGACAAAAACTAAATGATCAAATGATTTCTCTAGGAATTAAAACCTTACTAGGTGCCATGGCTCACACCTATAATCCTGGCTACTCCGGAGGCAGAGATCAGATCAGGAGGCCAGCCCAGAGAAATTTCCAAAATAACCAGACCCCATCATCTCCAAAATAACCCAAACAAAATGGGCTAGAGGTGTGGCTCAAGTGGTAGAACACCCACTTTGCAAGCACAAAGCCCTGAGTTCAAACCCCACTACAAAACAAAACAAACAAAAAAAAACTTGAAAAGCTACTATGTAGGAACATATAATTAATGAGTGGTCTTTAACAAGAGTATGCACATCAGAATTATTTGAGGGCTTGTATTTTCATTTTTCAGGAAAATCTTTTTTGTAAAAAAAACTGTTAAAAGTATATTTTTTAAAGAATAAGTTGTTACAGAAAGAACATCTTTCTTATCCTCCCCATCCTTCAACTCACTTACCTGAGGTAACTAACTAGTTGTTAGCTTAGTGCTGGTATCTATCTCTATCTCTATCTCCATCTCTCTCTTTCCCCACGTGTATGTGCTTATAGCCCTAATAGTACTTTTTTTATAAATACATGTAATTTTTATATATGAGTGGTACTATACGCAGTTATCTTGCTTTTTGTACACTTACTATCATGGATAGATATTCAGACATCTACATGTGTTGTTTCTTTTAAATCTATACTACATTCTAATATGTAAATGTACCGTGACTTATTAATATAGTTCCCAGCTGATTAATTATTGCCTTTTTTATTACTACAAAAAAATGTTTCAATAAGTACCTTTTTAAGAAGTTTTTATATTGGGTAGTGCTGCAATCAAACTCAGGGTCTTGTGCATGCTAGGCAAATACTCTACTACCGAGCTATATCCAAGCCCATGTTTTTTTGAGACACAGTTTTGCTATATAGCTCATGCTGGCCTAGAACTAACTATGTAGCCCTGGGTGGCCTTAAACTCATGATCCTCTTGCCTCTGCATACTGAGTGTTGGGCTTACAGCCATGTACTACCATGCCTAGCCATAAAAAAAATTTTTAATAATTATTCATTTTTATTAGACAAATTTCTGGAAGCAGAACTAAGTCAAGAAAAATGTATATACATTTAAATTTCTAATCATTGCAAACTACCAAAAAAGCAGTACCAACATATACTCTCATCAACAGAGAACAAGAATTCATATTTTTCACTCTACTCAGTCAAAAATCTTTTTCAAGATTTTTATCTATCTAATAAAAGAAAAATGACACCTTGTTCCTTTTAACATATTTAATAATAAGACTAGTCACCTTCACATGTTTAGAGGGCCTTTGTATTTCTCTGTAATTGCCTATTTATATCCTTTTGTGAATGGGTTTTCATGATTTTCTGGTTTCTAAGAATCTTTGTATACTTTAGTCAGTATTAGTCCTTTGTCAAACATTTTACAAATATTTCTTACAAGTTTTGATATGAAAGAGGTTACTCTTTTGTAGTCAAGCATACTTTTTCCTGCTTTTTACAGCTTTAAGATATAGCATGATGGGGCTAGGATGTGGTTCAAGTGGTAGAGCGCCTAGGAAGCTGAAGACCCTTTAGCTCAAACCCCAGTAACACCACTGCCTCACCCAAAAAAGATACTGCATTATAAGCTAGCCATGGTAGTGCTTGTCCGTAATCCCAGAACTCCAAAGGCTGAGGCGGGAGGATCAAGAGTTCAAGGCCAGCCTGGGCTACATAGCAAGACCCTGTCTCAAAAAAACAAAAAAAGAAATTGCATCAAATTAAGAAAGGATATTATCATTCCAAGATTATATTTTTAAAAATGTTCTACTAGCATTTTCTTTGAGATTCGTGTGTGTGTGTGTGTGTGTGTGTGTGTGTGTGTTTGTGTTGTATTATACTGGTGTCATTTCTTTTATCTTACAGCTTAACTAAGCTATAACACATTATGTAATAAATAAGAAAGGAATCCAACACAAATAGCTGCTTAGATGTCACAATACCATTAAGTGAATAACCTATTTCCTGATTTTAAAATGACACTTTAATTGTACTCAGTATTCAAATTTCCATCCTATCTATTAATATGTCTAGTCCTATCACTGTGAAGTTTCATTTTCTATAGCCTCATAATTTATTTTATTATCTAGAATGGGTAATGCATTCTAATTACTTTTTCTATTTCAGAATTTCATTTAGGTCTTCCAATAGTTTCACAATTTTTGTTAAGTTCCATAAATGTTTTAAGTGCATTGTCAGCATATGCATGTACACATACATGTATCTACCTATATTTAATTGTCTATGAAGCGTCATGAAACTAAAACTTGGATGGGGCAGTAATCCTGGAAATTCTAATGTATCTTCTGTACAACTGTGATGGTTTGTAAATGATTCCAACGAACAACTCAGTAGAGAACCAACACAATAAACTCAGGTTCCTCAAATTTAACACTCGCAGACTGACTAATTCAAGAGAGTTCTGGAGATCCCCCTCATGTATTAATTTAGCTTAAACAAAATTTTGATTCTTACAGACATACTGAAAGAATCAGTTTGCAGAACAGAATACTCTGTTTTCATACATCTCATGGCAGCTCTAATCTTCATTGAATCTTCTTACAGTGACACCACAAGTGGTAGAAACACTGCTCTGAAAACAAAACGGTCTTCAAAAAAATAATAACTGCCATCAGTGTTAATGGAAAAGAAATCAAAGGATTTGCAGTGACTATTTCATCCAGGAAACAAAAACTTTGAATGGAGAATAAAATTTTAATACAATGGTAGTTTAGATCCACAATAAGAATGTTATTTGTGCTATATGAGAAACTAAGAAAAAAATATCTGTGATCACTCCTCAGTAAGAAGTACAGCCTAGCCAAACATGGGGCACATGTCTATAATCCTAGCATTTGGGAGGCTAAGGCAGGACAGTCTTGAATTCAAAGCCAGCCTGAACAACTAGAAAGCTCAAGGCCTGATTGGGCTACATGAGACCCTATCTCAAAAACAAACAAACAAACAAAACACTGATGAAGCCAGGTGCCTGAAGCACAAACCTGTAATCATAGTTACTTGGGAGGCAGAGATTGAAAGATCACAGTTCAAGGCAAGTCCAGGCAAAAAGTTCACAAGACTCCACCTCAACCAATGGCTCAGGAGCTTGATTAATTTTTTTATTGCTTAAATGCTTTTGTTTTTCTATCCTCTTAGGTGAATAAAATTTCTTCAGGGCAAATTCTTCTGTCTACATTATAACATTGTTATTTTCTATCATTCTTCTTTTTTCCAAATTTACTTTTTTTCTCAAGTCTTGATTATTTATTTTGTCATGAAAGTCTAAAAAAAAAAATGTATCATTGTCACTCCCCTGGCAGGGGGTGGGAACGGTGCTAGTCATTCTTGGTAGCCTGTTATGCTGTACTTTCTTATTTCTTTTTTTTCCTCAGTACTGGGCTTTGCAATTGCTAGGCAGACCCTCTGCCAACTATCCACCCCTTTTTTGTGCTGTGTTTTTTTTTTTTTATCTTTGTGCATACTTTATTAATTCCAAGGTACACAAACACTTATTTTTTCTTTCTTTCATAGATAAATTTCTCAAAGGTCATGATACAGTCACCATTTCTTCATTTTTCCTGTCATGCCCTGACCAGCCTACCCCACCAAAGGAGAATTGGAAATAATCTTGGAGCTCTAACAAATTCCCTAACTTCTCTCTTTGCATTGCCATCTGTTGTCCCTCTAGCCCTGCCATCCCAACTTCACACATTCAGTCTGTAGCCCTAGCTTGAATGCCTTTGGAACCTGGGCTTGAAATACGCTTTTACTTTCAGTTTCCCAACACATCTAGCTCTTTTTTCTGCTTTGAGATGGAAGTACTTTAGTGCTAAGGAACCCACTCTAGACAACACAGTAGCAGGGTGGAGAGAGTCAGGATGGTTAGGTCTGCCAGGTGGAGGGGGAAGGGAAAGGATTTGAACCTCCCTTTGAATTCACTTCTTTTTAAAAAAAATTCATTAATTTTTTTATTAGGATATATTCCTAGTACAGGCGGAATTCATTGTGACAATTCCAAATAGGCTTATATTGTACATTGGTTAGATCACCCCAGTGTGTTGGTTATTTTTAGATGGGTCTTGTTTTATGCTTGTGCCAGCCTGGGACATAATCCCCCTGTTTGTGTGTCCCCATGTAGCTGGGATGACAAGTGTATACCATAAATTCTTTGTATATTCACTAATATGTCCATGCTGAAAAACAATAACACATTCAAAGTCACAAATTATTTATACAGAGAGAACATCAAAATATGTAAGAGCCTACATTCAAGTCTACCAAGCAAATAGTTTATGTCTGGCATTTGTTCATACTTTCTAGTCAATACCAACTATTAAACATGTTACCTATCACCCCTGAACCAAACTAATGTATCTTACAGAATTCTTTTTGAAAGAATTAATGGTTCAGTTTAACACACATTTATAGAGTATCTATCATATGCCAAATCCTGTTAGGTACCAGGGATGAAAATGTAGAAGGCCACATATATGCCCTTAAGCAACTGACATCATTTCTTAATATGACCAGCCAGGTTTTACAGCATTATATGAGATAGCAAAAAGGAGACATGTAGGACAACCTGGGGTAGTGAGAAAGATCATCTGAAGGACATCATGAATATCAGACTAATTAATGAGGCAAAGTCAGAGGAAAAAGGCCACAGTCTAGGATAATGCAGGAGAGGCTGGGAGAGACAGAGAGAGACAGAAAGAGAGAGGACAGAGGAGAGAGACAGACAGACAGAGAGAGAGAGAAACTATTTTGAGATATAAATGAAAATATGTTGACAAAGATGAAAAAAATCCCCCACTCCCACCCCCACAGTGTGTTATGGACAGGAGGGGTGAGTACAGGAGTATCTCAAGCAGTTTCTGCCTCAGCAAACAGAGCTGGCTGGTGGTCACATATCACAATCTATCAGGTAAAAAAATTTTGAGTTTATTCATGTTAATTTAAGATGCCTTGCAAGCATGCATTCAGGTAAGACTATCTAAAAACACAGTTGGCCACACTAATTTAAGGCTCAAGAAGAGATCAAAGGGACAGATTTGAGAGTGAAAAATATCAGGACTATGAGTAAGATCAACCTAAAAAGGTAAAGTAAAAAGAGCAATGGTTTAAGCACTAAAACCTTAGGGTAATCTAACATTTAAGGGGCAAAGATATATCTAATTTCTTTTCCTTTGTTCTTGAATATTCATCTAAAAAAAAGTGTCTTTAACCACACCTACAAGCAAATACTACCATTCTTTACATGCCTAAGGTCAGTGTAACTCAATGGCTACTGTACAACCTTCAACAGCAACTATAAATGGACTACTTCTTCCTTTTGAAATATTCATAGTATAGATATTTAATGCTTATAAGATGATTTTTATTAAAATCATTTTATACTAGGTGAATATGAGATTACAAATTCCTCAATAATTACTTTTTTCAAGAACTCGCTTTATATCAAGAACAATCCACTTTGGGCTCAAATAGTACCCTCTGCCTGTCTAGCAAGTAAGAAGCCCTGTGTTCAAACTCCAGTACCACCAAGGGGAAAAAAAAAAAAGAATGATGCATCGTATGTTGTTTTAAATACCATTATACACTGGACATAATCAAAGTCAGAAAAAATACTCAATACATGTTTGTAGTTAATGAGTCAGAATGAAAATACATAAACAAGCATAGCCCAAGGGGTAGAGCACATGCCTACCAAGCACAAGGTCCTGAGTTCAAATCCCAATACCACCAAAAAGTAAATACAATAAAGAAGAATTTAAATATATATGAACAAAATTAATTCAATTTATGAAATAATAAATTTAAAATGAATCCAACAAATAACCAAACTAACCACACTGTAAATACCAAAAATAGATTCCCCTCCTAATTTTATTTGTATACCTTCTCATGAAAGACACATTTACAGGATAATGAACAATACCATTTAAATCAAATACTACACAATTTCAGTACCTCACTTGTCAGCCGTATTAGGAGAGCTGCAGCCTCTGAATATTTGCTTTGGCTTTTTAAAATTTCAGCACTAAGCAATACACATCTTTCAGCCAATACCATATTCCTAAAAAAAAAATAGACAAGAAAAATATAATCAGCACCATAATAATATTTTAGCACATCAAAGTCACAATGTGTTCAGCAAAATATTCCATTTACAGATTTTAAATAAAGTCAACATCCTTATTTTCTACCTACCAAAAAGACAAAAACAAAAAACACCCTAAGAATTCCCATAACCTCACCACAGCTTTTAATCATCATATAATTTTGTAATAAGAATACAATGCAAAGTCACATTTCCTACGTGCAAAAAGCTAGAACCCAACTGTTACCTCCAAACTAGTAGCTAATTAATGAGTAAAACTGCTTTGATCAAAAAAGAATATAAGCATTTCTCCCTAATTTCTTTCTCTTCTCTCATCGGAAACTGATATTTTGTGTTTTATTTGGTTGGCTACTTAGACATTTTTCTTCTGGTGAAACTACTGAGATATTTCAAATGGGGATGGCATATGACCAAATGTTGACTGATTCCTGAACCAAAGTTTTTTTCTGATAAAAACATACAATCAAAAAGCCCAGTATAAGCTGGTTGCTAATGGTTCACGTTGTAATCTTAGCTACTCAAGCATGAAATCCTGGTTCAAACCCATGTACTACCAAAAAAAAAAATTCCCAGTGTATCCAAGCATGATAGTGCATGCCTATAATCCCAACACTTGGGAAGCTGAAGCAGAAGAATCCCTCGTTTAAGGCCAGCCTGGACTACCTTGCAAGTTCAAGGCCAGACTCTGATACATAGTAAGACCCTAACTGAAAAAGCCAAAAAGAAAATGTATTTACATTTTAATATTTCTGAAAGCAGGGAGATTATTAAAATTGATATATAAAGGGCTGGAAGAATGGCTCAAGTGATACAGTGCCTACCTAGCAAGTGTGAGGCTCTGAGTTCAAACCCCAGAACCACGAAAAAAAAAATTGGTATATATAAATGATCCATGTTTCTAGCTTAATAAAGTCATTAAATTAATGACAAATTCTACCAAGTATGGTAACTTAGAATGAAAACGTAAAGTAAATAATATATGGTCTGGACCAGGCATCATGGCATATGCCTATAATCCCTCTCAGGAGGCGAGACCAGAAGGACTAAGGTATCAGGATGGCCTATATAAAAAAAGAGTTAGTGAGAGCCTATCTCAGTAAGCCAGGAGTGGTGGTACATTACTATAATCCCAGCTAAGAGGGAGACCGGAGGTAAGAGGACTGCTGTCCTTCTGGGAAAGAATGGCAAACACTATCTGATAAATAACTGAAAAGCAAAAAGGGCTGGAATAGCTTATAAAGTATAAGAGAGAGAACTGATTGTGGCTCCACCATTTAATAGCTATATGCCCTTAGGCAAGCTAAACTTTTCAGGATTCAGCTTGCTAATGTGCAAAACAGAAATAATAGGACCTACCATGTCACAGGTTTGTTATGAAGATTAAACAAGAATGCAAACTATTTAGTCAGAGGCAAATACTGAGTACCCTATAAATGATCATTTTCTAAACTTTTCAATGTTGTATTGCAAACATACTGTAATTACTATTACTATTTCTACTTGAGCAACATTATAGGAGTGAAAATGGTCTCTGTATCTGTCTACCAAAGCATCTACTTTATACTAGAAAGTTCAAGCAGGACACCTGTGGCTCACACCTATAATTCTAGCTACTCAGAAGAAGAGATCAAGAGGATCAAGGTTCAAAACCAGACTTGGACAAATAGTTTGTGACACCCTGTCTCAAAAGTACTCAACACACACACAAACACAAACACACACACACACACACACACACACACACACACACACACACACACACACACACACACACAACAGGGCTGTTGAAGTGGCTCAAGTGGTAGAGCACCTGCCTAGCTCTAGCATGAGGCCCAGAGTTCAAAACCCAATACCACCAAAAAAAAGAAAAGTTTAATGCTTGCCTAGAATACTCAAGGTCCTGGGTTCAATCCCCAGTACAAAAAAAGAAAAACAATAAACAATGAGGATGAGAATTTTCTATCTCATCACCAAATTTATCATCCAATATTTCCATATACACAAACCGTCTACTTAGCCAACTCTCTTTCACCAGTAATGCTGCATCCAAAACATTATTCCTATAAAAATCACAAATCCAGAAATGTCTTCATGGCTATCAAATTCCAACCACCTTCCTTTCAAAGTCTACTTATCAAGTGTTCCATGAGCCTGTGACTACCATTTGTGGACCAGTTCATTTTTTCCTTATAAGTATTCACTATGTACATGAAACCCTTCTCATTTATTTCCCTAGACTACTACGTAACTCTTTACGTTTTGCCTAATTAACAAGGAAAATTCAAATTGGTGGATTTCTGGTTTGACAGCAGGTATGGTCAAAAATGTCTCCAAAATACAAATACCCTCAATAACATTAAATATAAGAAATTCATAGTCCAAAAATACAAACCACATAGGAAATGCAAAGAGGATGTAATAAAACACTCACTTTTTCACCTCAATTTTTCTGACTATATTATCTTGGTTTGTGAGCTTGAGGCATAAAAAACAAATCGAAAACCTAACTACATAAATGTCAAATTTACTTGTGAGTGGGCAAAACATAAAGATCACAGTCACCTACTTGCAGATATCCCTGTATGTCTGAATAGCCGTATCCATGTAGTGAGCAGGGTATGGCCTAGGTGCTCCTGGCTGAAGAAATGCGGATACTGCTGCCATTTCCTAAAGAAAAAGATGTCTTTTATACTCTTTTGAAAGGAAAAATATTCTTATGGTTTAATATCAGGGAACACAAAAATTGGAATGAAATTTGTTGGGGGTCTCTTATTATATACATTTATTGTACATTCTCAGTCCGCATAAATTCCATAGTTTAATTCAGACTCAATCTGGGTGTGATGGCTCATGTCCGTAACCCTAGCTACTCATGAGGCATAGATCAGAAGGATTGTGGTTCAAAGTCAGCCCAGGCAAATAGTTCCACGAGACCCTATCTTGAAAAACTCTTCACAAAAAATGGGCTGGTGGAGTGGTTCAAGGTGAAGGTCCTGAGTTCAAGCTCCAGTACTGCTAATAATAATTATTATTAACAATAATTATTAATATTAATAAATAATAATAATTATTATTATTCAGACTCAAAACCATAGTTAAGGCCAGAAATGGCACATGCCTGTAATCCTAGCAGTTGGAGACTAAAGCAGGATAATCTTGAGTGGAAGGCCAACCTGGGCTACAAAATAAGACCTTGACTCAAAAATAAATAAATGACATTTCCAATATGGCCTACTAAACACTTTGGTTTATGGTATATATAAACTGCCAAGTGAGCCTAGCTTTACATTTTTGCTACACCTCCTCCTTGTTCCTTCCTAACACTCAAGGAGTAGAGAACAGAGCAAAGACAGGATTCTACAAAGAAAACAATATATGGTTACTCATCACTTAGTGACAAGGACAGACTAATGGAGAAATCCATCATAAGGTGATTCTGTTATAAGGACATCACAGTGTATTACACAAGCCAATATGATTATGGCATTACTAGGTGACGATTTTCGTGACATATAATTCTATGAGACCACCATAGAATGGTCCACTGTAACCATATACATGGTCCACTGTAACCCAAAACATCGTTATGCTCTGATGACTGAACATTTTTTCCAATTTTATCTATTATCTGAAAAATAATACATTTAAGCTGCTTAAATAGAGATAGCTATATGACAGCAAATAGTTTAGCACTGGAAAATAAAGGTATATTTACAATAACATGATATATATACACATGAAAGTAATTGTTATTTATAAAAACTGCCCTAAAAGTAGTAAGCTTCTGGGGAAAAACAGGGTTGAAACAGTTCTCTTGAAGCCTATTCATCTGTGCAACCAAAACACAAACTAAAACAGGCGACCTGTATAACCTAGACAGGCAACTTACATGGTTGAAGGGTGCCTTAGCGAACATAAAAAATACCAATACATAAATCCTGGTGAGGGAGGAAGTGAAGAACAGGAGTTACCACGTGGGTGAACATGGGAAGAGAGCTTGCAAGGCTGCGGTGTACTTCTCCAGAGTGGAAATCCATGTGCATGGAAGTAAAGACATTCAGTTCTTACTTTCTTAAAATGCAGCCAAGGGGTTGGGGACATAGCTCAGTGGTAGTGTTTGCCTTGCATGCACAAGGCCTTCCATTTGATCCCAAGCACAGCAAAAGAAAAAAAAAAAGAAGACAGACAGAAATACCAACCAAGGCCCCAGCTGCATATAGCATTGCTTGATCGTTGAGAAAGTCCTTCTTTGCGGTGTGATAGCAACTGTAAGCCAGATCATAATGTTGCACCAAGAAGCATAAGTCAGCCATCTTCCTGATTTGAAGCTCTGGTGCTTCTGGTGGATACCTGCACGCATAAATAAGAAAACAGTTTATGATTCATGACCCAATACACCAATAAGTATAAAAGGTGTAATAAGCTGTTTGACTACCCAGAACATGAGAAAAATTGATTCTGTTTTACAAGAATTATATCCCGAAGGACAGTGTCAATTTTCAAAACTATTGAGAAACAAAATTTAATTTATAACCCTGGGAACTTCTCAGGTGGCAAGCATTTTCTCTATGGTCAAGTTATAAAGTAAATGGTTAATTCCAGGTGACTCATGTGTATATGCAACCAGAAAAAATAATCAAGTAGATTAATTTTATGTTCTCGTGAAACAGGATTTTTCTTCAACTTTTTTCTCCTAGCAGTACCAGAGTTTGAACTTGGTCTCATGCTTGCTAGGCAGGCATACTACTACTTGAACCACTCCATCAGCCCCAAAATAGGATTTTGTATCAAATAAAGTTCGCTAAATATATGTATGTCTTAGAATCACAGACCAAAACATTTTGGATTTAGAAAGGCTATTAAGCAAAACCTAATCTAACTTCATCTTTTTACAACAGGGAAACAGATTCAAATAAGTGACTTTCCTAGTTATATTCAGAGTTTATTTTAGGGTTAGGTGTGGTGGAACATATGCGTAATCCCAGCTACTTGGGAGAAGAGATTGGGAGGATCGAGGTACAAAATAGTCAATAAACGAGCTGGGTGTGGTGGCACATGCCTGTAATCCAAGCTATGTCAGGAATAGGTACAAAGATCTTGGTCCTAGGCAAACTCCAGGCAAAAATATAAAACCTTATCTGAAAACTAACAAAAGCTAAAAAGCGTTGGGAAACATGGTAAGTGGCTGAACATCTGCCTACCAAGCATAAGTCACTGACTGAGTTCAAATCCAGTTTATTAAAAAAGTTTATTTTTAAACATCCAGTTAGTTGCTTTTTAAATTAATATAATTTACTTACAGTTACTTTCTTATCTAAATTTTGACCAGTAAGAAACAAAGAAACTGGGGCAGGCAGAGTGGCAAGTGGTAAGAGCATGTGCCTGCAAAGTAAAACCCTGAGTTCAAATCCCAGTGCTGCCAAAAATTAGAAAAAGGAACTAAAGAGATAGCTTTTTTGGTAGAACATTATACAGTCAGAAACTAGTCAGAGTTAAACAGAGAAAAAAATAAAAGAGTTTACTCACAGCAACCCTGATGTATTTTTCAGCTCATTAATGCTCTTTTCTGGAACTTTACTACCACTAAACCATTTTTTAGTTGCAGAAAATAGAGACCGACTCAACCCTTTTCTGGATATTAGCTAAGAAAAAAGATTACATTATGTTGACAAATATGAAGGTTTAAATTGTTTTATATACAAAAGAAAAGTTAAATAACTAAAAGCTTTAATAGTAAGCATTCATTTTAATGACACCAATTTTTTTTAAACTAATATGCTGATAACATTGCAGTGTTTTCAAGTGAGCCTCTTCTAGGGGTGAATAGAATTTCAGCACTGAATTAACTTCAATGAGTTCTAATATCAGCCTATTATAGAAAGAAAATCAAAACAAAAAACTTCAAACACTTTAACCTACACTAGTACATTCTTAAATTTATTATTTAAACTTGAAAAATAATAATCCAAAAAGTTAAGACTTACCTGATCATTTAATTGCCGAATTGTTTTCTCTATATGTGGCAAAAGGCCACGAAATGTAAACTCTTGTATAAACTGTCGAATTCTATCATGATCAGTAAGTGTTAAACACGCACCATGAATCACTCCAGTATTTGCTTTCTTTGTTTCGTGTAATGATGAAGCAGATTTTACATGATCTGGACCGTCAATGCTGTTAGAAGGGTCACTGGATTGGTCCAATTGAAGTGGGTGAGTTCTAAAGTTATTTGGTATGCCATCTACTAAAAAACAGATCTTTCTTTTACACTCAGAATTCAACAGAAAATTGTGATAATACTATTGCACTACTAAAAATAAAAGAATGACAGAACACTATTTCTACAGTAACAATGACATCTTCCCCTCTAAAATTAAAGGGCTTGGGTTAATATTTGTTACATGTTACAGAAATAAGAATTCAGGTAAATCACAAATATAGAAAAATATAGTTTAATAATAATATAATGAATTACTTCTAAATAGCACAACTAAGTTGTTAGAAAAATTACAAGCCAGGTGTGGTGGTACACACCTGTAATCCAAGCACTCAGGATACTGAGGCAGTAGGATCGAGTTTGAGGCCAGCCTGGGCAACAAAGTGAGTTCCAGAACAACCTACGCTACACAGGGAGATGCTATCTGAAAACAAAATAAAACAAAACAAAAAAACACAACAGCTACTTGGGAGGTGGAGATTGGAAGGATTATGCTTTGAGGCCAGCCAAAGGAAAAAGTTAGTGAGACCCCCCCATCTCACTAAGACAAACCAGGCATGGTGGCCTATAATCCCAGCTACACAGGAAACAAAGGTAGGAGACTGTGGTCCATGGCTAGCCCCAGACAAACTCAAGACCCTATATAAAAAAAAAACAAAAACCTAATGCAAAAAGTGCTAGGGGTATGGCTCAAGTGGTAAAACATCTACCTAGCAAAATCTAGGCCCTGAGTACAAAATCCTGCTACCAAAAAATAAAAAAGAGAAAAACAAACAGTAAAAGAAAAAAGAAATTTTGAGCTATCATTACCGAAACTGTAACTTAAAATACAGAAATACAACTTCCCAAATTGTGAATAATGCTGTACATCACATCTTTCCTTGCTTTCTACAAATATTTTTAAAAAGAAATGTAGTAACTATTCTCATAAAACAAATTTTTAAAAGTCAAAAAAAAAATCAAACTCAATGGACTCAATAAAATCTTAAGAAAAGTTAACCTGCACTAGATGTGATGGTGCACACCTATAATCCCAGCATTTGAGAAGCTGAGGCAGAATAGTCACTGGTATGAGGCCAGTCTGGGCTACACAGCAAGTTCCAAAACAGCCTGAGCTATATATCAAGACCCTGCCTCAAAAAAACAATTAAAACAAAAAGGCTAACCTGCTCATTTTCTTTTTGTATTATGAAAACTTCCCCCATCTTCTATCGATAAAGGTTAGCATGCTTTGACAATACACATTTTCAATCAAAAGAGAAGTTAGAGAAAAGTATATCAAGACCTTTGACTTCGTTATCTAATCCATCCAATGAAAGTAAGTTACTATCAGAATTCTTATTTGAGGTTATAGTACAAGGGCCATCTTCATATGATTCCTATCAAAATAAAATAAAAAAGTATTAGCAATTATATTGAACTGTGTTTAACATACCATTAAATCCATCAATAACTATGGCTTGCTCTGCTGTTAGCTTCCTTTATTTGCTAAAGCAATACTCTTTTCTTCTAGTCCTCTAAATTCCTAACTTCTTTCATGTATCTTATTCTATCACACCAATGCACATCTACTATATTCTTAAATCCCTTTTCATATTCAAATCTACTACCCTAATTCTTCTGAATTCAAATTATCAAGTTCTCAATTCAGATAATCTGTGTTTATATATGATACACACGTATATATACTCAAGTATGTATACCATAGATACTCAAATAGACATATACATACACCTATTAATTTTAAGGAATAATAGCAAGGGAGATGGACTACCAGAGTCAGGCAAGAGAAGAACAGGTGTAAAATCTCCTAGGTCTAGATGCAATACTGGCAGGTTGTAGTGAATTGTGAACATGCTGAACTATTTGGAGAACATATTCAGTGCAGTGTTTATTTTTATAAAAGTATTGGTTTCTCAGTCAACAAAAATTAAATCTCATCAGCCCATTCCACAAAACCAGTAAATGTTAAGGTATTATTATTGAGGGCCACACAGTTGAGGAAAATATTTAACCTACAACTTAATAAGGACATGACCACGAAAGGAAACTCAGAAACCATGCCCTGACATATGCTTAAACTATATAAATTTACCCTGGAATAATACAAAAGGGAACATGAGAGCTACCTTCTATATTTTGAAAGCTGTCTTAATGGAAAACTGGTATGGACCAATGCGTACAAGAAAAGGAGAAAATTTCTGGGGGATCCTTAAGTTGTTCAGAATTAGAATGGGTCACTTAAGGAGATACCAAGTAGATGAGTCATTCCAAGGGTTTTTTATTTATTTTGTTTTGTTGTTTGTTTTGAAGCAAAGTGTCACCAAGATGGCTTCAAATTCTCAATCCTCCTGCCTCAGCCTTCCAAGTGCTGGTATTACAGACATGTGCCACCAAGTCCAGCTTTTATTCACAGGTTTAAAGGAAATTTAAGTATCATATTAGGGACTGGGTTTGATAAGCTTTACTCTCAAACCCTGGGCTTCTAGGATTCTAAATCATAGAAGCTCTGATACCTCTGTCTTCTGTTAAAAGCCCTCCAACTGAATAATCTCATTTACATTTCCCTTCACAATGTTAGACAGCTAAACTCTAAATTGAGACCTAGCACTTTTTATTTTTTGGTGGGCTAGGGACTGAATCCAGGGCCTCATGCATGCTAAACAAGTGCTCTACAACTGAGCTACATTCCCAGCTAAACTCTAAATTGAATTTTTCAGTATTGCTTCTATTCTAAGTATGGCTCTGAAAGACTATTTTAAAACAAAAAGCTCTCCCTATAGGTGTGGCTCAAGCACAAAGCCCTGAACTGAATTCAAACCTGCGTACCACCAAAAGACAAAACAAAAAAACACCTTTCACATCCAACTAGTTCTTTTTTGTCTAAAAATTTTTCTTCAACATAAACTTTTAAAAAGTCGGCAATCACTTCCATATTAAAATGAGTAAAATATCAAGATAGCCCTATGTCTAGACTAAAAACTGTACGTTATATAGAAAAATAAGGCAAATAAGGTTTTAAAATAATATTTATATTAAAAAATCAAGTTACATAAACTTTTTAAAAGCCGGTATTTTTTAAAATATCACTTAAAGAGCAAATAATGAAGTTCAGTTGCATAAAATATTTTTTTCCATTTAATTAAAAAAAAATCCTCCTTCTAAACAGCTCCTGATTATCTAATCTTACACCTACCCACTTCAGCCAACAGATAAATAACATTAGTCTAGTACTCTAAAGAAGTAACACTTCCTAAATATTAAGATGAAAAAGTGATAAATCAAAGGAAAATTAGGGAAAAAACCCACCCACCTAAAAAGTATGAGCTCTAAAAGGTGGCCATAGAACAGCATGTTGAAAATGTAGGAAGGCAACCCCAGAGCATGTGGATAACAGAGAATTGACTGTAATTATTCATAGTGAATTAAATGTTCAAGCCAAAAAATCTATTCTCTGTATGTCTACCCAATCTAATTCAATTATTACTGCATGATTCACTTTTCATCTTTTAAGGAAAGAGCAACTAACATTATTACATACTTGAAAAGAACTGTAGTTGGTTAAAAAGCTTTAGAACTACTCATTTAAGAGCTCATAGCAGACAGATATAACCTAGCCAGATTCCACAATGTAAATATTAATTGTTCTAGTGAAAACAAGACATAAACAATTCCACTATGTTGTCATAAAACTACAATACAACTTTCGTGGTTTGCTTCATTGTTGTTTTTAACATATACCTGGTTTTGAATACTATTTTTCTGGAGATACTGACTCCAAGGATCTGGTATCTGTTCATCTGATGCTCGATTTGATGTTCGAGAATTGATTTTAAGTAAATAGCAACCCTGAGTTCCATATTTCTGTTTCATTTCTTCATAAATTGATTCAGCTCTAAAATTTAAAACAATGGAAAAAGCTTTATAGTAACCATGAGCAGACTTTAGAGAATAGATCTTAAAATAACACAAAAATAATACCCCCAAAATGAGCAAAACAGAAAATTAGTAAAAAGAATAATTTAAATGTTAAAAAGAAAATCATGATCGTAATTGAAATTTAGACTCTAAAATTTCAGATGTTACTTTAAGGCAGTGTTAGCAAAGTGTGTTTCATGGAATAAAATTCTACCAGACATTCCTATCGGACAATTCTGATGGTCAAACCAGTCTGGAGAAACTATAGAAAAAACAAGTTTATAGCACAGACCATCTCTGAACTTTCCATGAGCTAACATGAATTGCCAAATTCCAAAGAGCAGCTCCAAACTTAAATATCAGCAGCCCTTTCTATCATCTATAGGAGCTAGTATTTAGAAAATATAACTTTGGGGAATTCTTATAAAACACTTATCAATAAACAAAAGTGATAAAACAGAAAATTATACCACCAGAAAACTTTCACAAAAGGACTCAGTTCAAAAGAGCAAAAAGGTAAAAAACTTAGCAAAAGCAACTGAGGCATTTGTTACATATAAGCCACCCTTTTTTCTTATAAAATTTATAGTAGCTGAATTCATGAGCTATTTCTCAGAAGCAGGAAAAGCATTCTGATTTTCATACTTTAAGAAAACAAAACATGCTGGAATGGAGTATGGTGCAAATGATAGAGTGTCTGCCTAGCAAACACAATACCAAGTTCAAACCCTAGTACCATCACAAAAACAAAAAAAATTATATATGTTAATTGGTGGTAAATAAAATAGTTCAATTAAAATAAGACAGCTTAAGAAGTAAACAGAACAACTATAGGAAATAAGATCTTAACCATAGGGTTAACCCATTTTAAATGAATATTTTTAGTCAACTGGCCATCTGATGGAAAAAACAACAAACTATAAAACCCTAGAAAATCTGAAAGCTTATTCAAATGCAAATAATGATATATACAAAGGACAGACAAACAACTAAATCACATTAAGGCTAGGAGTAAAAGACTTAACTTTAAAAAGTTATATAAACCAGGCACCGTGGTTCACATCTATAATCCTAGCTAGTTGGGAGGCTGAGATCAGGAGGATCAAGGTTTGAAGTCAACCCAGACAGATAGTTCTCAAGACCCCATCTCCAAAATAACCAGAACAAAATGGGCTGGAGGTGTGGCTCAAGCAGTAGAGCAGATGCAAGGTGCAAGGCCCTCAATTCAAATCCCAGTACCATAAAAAAAAGTTCTGTGCATGTGCTTTGCAAGTGCAAAGCCATGAGTTCAAATCCTGACCCACAAAGTTACGTAAATACAGACAGAAATATGGGTATGCATATACACACTCAAGTACAATAAACCCAACCCCCACTCACTTTACCAATGATCCTGCTACACATAACAACCATGAGCTATTCAATCTGTAAGATACATGTCGTACTCAGGTTGGAGGTTTGGCTCAAGCTGTAGAGCTCCTGCCTAGCAAGAGCGAAGCCTGGAGTTCAAACCCCAGAACCACTAAAAAAAAAATTATTCCTCAAAAATTAAAGAGAAAGCCCTTCCCAAACAAAAAGGAATTTATTACTATGTGACTGGACCTACAAGAAATGCCTAAGGGTGTCCTGTACTAGAAATAAAGGAGTAATCAACTACTGTCATGAGAGTATAGAAAAGCACAAATTAGAAAGCAAAACAGAGAAACAAACGAGAAAAAAGAAAAGACTTGCACTGCACTGCTACACAGGATCTCCAAACCACAAGTACAAACAATACAAGGAAAAATAAACAAAGGATATTCAAGATATGCACTATACTCAATATGCTAATAAAAATTTTAAAAAGATATGTATTATATTCAACTAACAAAAGCTAATTTCAATAGCCAGTCCATATTATTTCTATTTATAGTATACTTTATTCAACAGGCTACAAACATTTCAAAAAATCCTGAAGATGAATAATCCTGAGAGTAAGTCTTTGGTTCTACTGAGTTTAATTTATTAAAAACTGGTAAGAGAATGGGGAGGGTGGCTCACACCTGTAATCCCAGCTATGCAGGAGGCGTAAAGTAGGAGGACTGCAGACCAGAATAGCATGGACAAAAATGCAAGAACCTATCTGAAAAATAACCTAAAGCAAAAAGAGCTGCTATTCGTGGCTCAAGTGGTAGAGCATTTGTCTAGCCAATGCAAGGCCCTGAGTTCAAAACCCCAGTACTACCCCCACAAATAAAATGGTCAGAGCTGAGCATGATGGCACACACCTATAATCCTAGCAGGAAGCTAGGGCAGGATGATCATGAATTCAAGGCTGGCCTAGGTTACAACAGTGAAACTCTGTCTCAGAAAACAAAACAAACAAGACAAGGTTAGAGGCTAGAAGTGTATATTGGTAGTAGAAAGTGCGTTTACTATGCACAAGGGCCTGGACTCAAACCCCAGCACCAAATCAATGAATCAATGATGGTTTGTGCTCACAACATGGGCAAGAAATGATTATAAGATTACATAGCCCAGTGGTTTCAAAATATCAAGAATCACAGTATGAAACAAAAGATTCATTTGGCTGTGGGTATGGCTCAAGTAGAACAACTGCCTAACAAGATCAAGGCCCTGAGTTCAAAACCCAGCACTGCCAGAAAAAGATTAATTTGATCTATACCTTGAAACAAAAGCCAAAATAAATTCCAAAGCTATAAAATTGCTTTTAATGTTCATAGTATTTTTCAAGAATTAATTAATTAATTTAGTTAGCTTTTTTGACGCAGGATCTCACTATGTAGCCCAGGCTGGCATAGAACTTAATATCCTACTGCCTCCACTTCCCAGAATGCTGCGATTACAGGCTTGCACCACCATGCCTGGCTATTTCATTTTTAACGACAACTTATTAATGAATCTCAAAAAATAAAAGAACTACTGCAAATCACCAAAAACAAATATTAAAGGGAATGTAAGAAATGCTTAGTTGTTTCTAAAGCTATGATGAACATTAAGATTAAAAATACTAAATCACAAGAAAGTGGACGTGTGAAAAAAATAAATGCATATAAGCAACAGTCCAGCAGTGAAAAGTTAAAAGGAAAACTGGGAAGTAGAAGTAAATGAGAAATAATTTTATATAAAGAAATAACAACTAAAACCTACAGGTGTAAAATGGCAAGTGTTTTTGTACAAAGATTATGTGACATATATATTGAAAAGAAAGTTTGGGTAAGCATATGAATTCTAACATTAAGTGTCTGAGCTGTTTAATATGACTACAGAATAAAAAATAAAGCTAAATGTTTATTAACTAATTTATATTACAACCTTACTATCTTAGATTATTACGAATCCAAAATTTAAATAAGCCATGTCCAAATTAAAAAAAATAAAACTTACCTCTGTTCATCTCCTGTGCTTACATCATGTAAAAGTACATAATATTTAAGTGTATTTGGTATAAACCACTTAGGGTAGGAATAATCACTGTTGTGTTGAATTCGATGCTGTTCTTGTGACAACTTTGAAAACTGTTCCATAGGTTCAGCTTCGCTAGATGATGCTACCAACATACCTTGTAAACCATATTAAGGTAATTATCACTTACCACTTAATGATAAATTCTACCCTATTAATATAAGTTTTAAGGATATAGTCTCAGCTTTTTAAAAATCTGATTTCACAGGTTTTCATTGCAAGCACAAAAATAATTTTTCCAATTACTCCAAAGAAATTCAAGGCTCTAAACCTTAAAGATATTTTTTGAGTGTTTCGTTCATTTACATATTTAATAAGGAATTTCATAAAATGAACAATATCAAAATTGTACAGCTATCCCTATAACAAAGAATTCTGGCGAGTCTTGCTTATCTCCATTTTGTCTCAGTGGAATTTCACACTTTATCACTTCACTTTTCTCTACAACCTTGTTAAGAAAACTAAAAAACCATAATTACCAAAGGAAAATGAAATAGTTACTAAAAATATGGATTCCAAAAGAAGCAATTAATTCTAAGGCAATCACTAAAGCAGTTAGCACTTACCATTCATACTTTCTCTTTCTAAAATGGTTTTAAAACATCTTAAGCTGGGCATGTTGGTACACAACTATAATCTCAGCACTTGGCAAGGCTGAGGCAAGAGGATCACGAGAGCTCAGTGTTAGCCTGAACTACAGGGTAAGCTCTAGGCTAGTTTGATACATAGCAAGCCTCTGTTTCAAAAAAAAGAACTTATTAAATATGAAATGTTCAAGCTAGAGGAATAACAAAAAAGCAAACACTCAGTTGTCTTATTTTATAATCAAACTTAATCAAAAATTAATTTATTACAGCAGTTCTGTATCATTATTAACAAAATGACAGTAATAAAAACTCGGTATGTCATAAATAAAAAACTTCTCAGCCCTGTATGGTGATCACACCTATAATCCCAGCCACTCAGGAGAGGGAGACAGAAGGATCTCAGGCAAGGTTAGTGAGATCCTATCTCAAAAACAAACAAATTGGGGGTATATATAGCTCAAGTGGTAGAGCACTTACTGTACCAAAAAGGAAAAAAAACATTTCTCCATTTTGTATAGCCTCTCAACAATTTTGCCTTCATTTTACTATTTCTGAATTTAATAGCCTCCATTAATATTTGACTTTAAGAGAACTTAAAGATAAAGGATACATGCTAAATAGTGGTTCAGAAATTCATGATCTGATGCTGGCATCGACTGAAGAAAGGTCTCTCTATAAGACTCGAACCATGGAGTAGTAGCTAAAATTGACAATATATAAAACAGTTAATATTCCTCAACAGAATCAGTTTACAACAGACAAATTTTAAGTTCCACATTCCTAAAAGATGGGAGATAATTTCTGGCAGGAAACAAGAATTTTCACCTGTGCTTTAAAATATGTATTATTTATAGATATATACTTTTAAGCCATTCACACAAATATATTCATACATGGATGTATATTTATTAGCAAAAATAAAACTGAGTTATTCTCAAACCTACACGATGTTCCCACAACCACTTACTAATGCTCTAATCATTATTTATACAGGGCTGGGGGCCTGGCTCAAGTGGGAGAGAGGCTGCCAAGCAAGCTCAAGGTCCTGATTTAAAATTCAGTACCTCCAAAAAAAGAAATTAAATATTGCCTATATGAATAAAAATATAATAGAACTAAAGCTGTGCCCTGCAACTAATCACATTGTCATAAACAGATCCTTTTCATAAATATTATCACTTTAGAATACTGGTTCTCAATTGAGGTTGATCTTAACCCCCAGGAAACATTTTACAGTAGCTGAAGATATTTTGGATTGTCACAACTGGGAAGTGGGAGTGCCAACCTATCTCCAGAAGAGTTCAGTAAAATGCAAATATATTACAACGCACAGGACAGGACAGCTTCCCACATACAAAGAATTACCTAGCTCAAATGTCAGTATTTACTGTAGCTGACAGACTCTACAATTTGATAACATGAATATGGCTACAACCAAGCCTCTTTAAAGAATATTTCAAAAGATACTTACCTTATAATCTAAATAAAAAGTATATTTCATTTTTTGTTAGAATGTCAACTTTTTTGCTCCATGCTGAACACTTTACATTGCATCTACTCTTTTTTTCATTTGAACTCACACTTGGTTTCACTAGGTTTATGTGACTTCATATAAGTCACAATTTTACTAAAGGGATCCTCCACTCCTAGCTATTTGTACTGACTACCAAGCCTTACATGCTTCCTGTTTTCATCTTAATTGCCAAAAGCATGGCAAATAGATTTTTGACTTACATTATAATATAACTGGAAAGGTTGAAGAAAAAGCCAATCGCGTATCTACTCTGGTACCAAATATACAACAAATTTTAATTCCAACAAATACCTTATGAGAATTATCCATATATTAGAGTCTAATTAAGAGGCCTGTTATTGTAGCAATTTCATGTTCACTGCTAGTAGAGGAAAAATATTTCCAGAAATATAACCTACACATAAATGGCAACTGGAGAATAAATGACACAGACTAATATGTTACATTAGGAAATGAATTTTCTCACCAGCTGATAGAATAAACTCTTCCTCACCAAACTGGCCAAGAAAAGACTGCAAAATTAATACTTTCATTCAGCACCAATGGCAAGAAAACAGATAATAAAAACTATGATTTAGTAAACAGTTATCTCCACCGAAAATGTGGAAATGTCTACGCATCTAAACCTATTTTGACTATTTTTCTATTTACCTTGTTGCTTCATGCTGCTTAAAATGATCAAATAACAGACAAAGTGTAGTGAGATGAGAAAGTGTTCATTTCATAGTGGGGGTCTGGACTCCTGAATAAACAAGGTACATCTTCCAAAACAGCTACTCTTTGCAACACTATTTGTAATAACAAAATACTAAAAAAACCCTCATGTCATCAAGAAGACTGGGTAAACAAATTACAATACATCCATTAAATGGTACACTATACAGCTATAAGAGAAAAGGGCAAACTCCCACAGACTGCTATAAAATGCTCTCCTGGATATATTAAATGAAAAACAAAAGCAACAACAGAAAAGTATACATTTCTGTGTTAGAAAAAGAAGAAAACAAAGAATCACACATTTATGTGATTGTGTTTTCAAAAAGAAGTAATAAAAAGATAAATCTAATACATTTGAGCTGGGGATATAGCTCAGTGGTAGAGCACTTGCCTAGCATGCATGGGGCCCTGGGTTCAATCCCCAGCACTGCCAAAAAAGAGGAAAAAAAGTTGACGCAATTAACTATAAGGTAGTAAGAAAAAGAAGAGAGGAGCTGGAAAAAGGGAAAGGAATGAGAACAGAGGCTAGAATTCACTATAGCATGTTTTAGTTTGACTTTGGAACTACAACTACATTTATACTATAAATGTATGAATAATTTAAAATAAATCAGAAAAAGGTAAAATACACACATGTACAATTTCTTAAACTGAAATAATAACTTCCTAAGTAATAGTGAAAAAAGACACTGAGTACTCAAGTCATGACATGAAGGGCAAAGGAGAAACTTAAAACTATATATGGTAGAAATGAGTTTTCACGTGTCAGATAGGTCACAGTACAATAGTTAAGGTTTCCCTTTAGCTATGTTTCCTAAAAAGGCTGTGGAAACAATATATGCAGTTTCTCTGTCCTTTATTTTAATTTTGTCAAATGGCAATAAATCAAGGGCATTTTTCTACTTTTTTTTTTCAAACTTTTTTTTATAGAAAGTGGGGAAAAATAATACCTCTAAATTTTTTCGTGTTAACAGAAGACTTTAACACTTACTGACAATTCTTTCCCCTTAAAAATTCTCGTATTTATTTTGGGATGGTCACTATCTTGCTCATACCCCTTTCTAGCTCTTCATGTTCTTCATTTGGAACTGATAAAGCAACCATTTTATCTTTATCCTACTAAACTTTCTCTGTACGGAATGTATTTTGTCTTGGTACGGAAGGATAGTATGTTTGTCCTTCTTATCAAAATAAGATGCAGTTCAAGCTATACTGTTCAAGGACAATGCTTAGATTTAGAAAATAATGATGTAAATCAAGAATAAACACAGTAAGGCTGGGAGCATGGCTCAAGTGGTAGAGCATCCGCTTAGCAAGTGTAAGTCCCTGAGTTCAAACCCCATTTCCACCAAAATAAAGAAAATAAAATCTAAAAAGAAAAAAAAGAATAAACACAATAGATGATAGATGATAGGAAAAATTGTAAAAGATGAACAAGCATCATCAGACCTCCTTCATTTTAGAAAAACTAGACAGATGTGTCAATTGAAACAAATATGAAAAAATAGTGGGAAAAAAAGGTAAGAGATAAGGAATGGAGTGAGAACAACCTGGAAAACTGAGCCCCACCATAAGAAATACCTGTGTACAACGAGGATTCTTTCAATTCCATCAAAGTGTCTTTCCAATTACTGTACCAAGGAACACTAGCTTTAATTGACCGATCTGATGAAAAAAATATGGCACTGTTAAACTAAGTTTATGAAGTAAATATCTAACCTTTATTTCTTTAACAGAACAGATGAAAAGTATACTGACTCAAATTAATGGTATAAATTAGAAACTAACTTCTGGACATATAATATCTTATGAAAATCCATTAAATTCCCTTTTAAATAACCTCCAGAGTATATTCTGCTACAATGGAATTTTATTCACATGAATTCAGTACTATATCATAACTCACTCCCAGTTTTCAAGGCCAAAAAATAAAGCTGAGATCTAGAGTTATAGCTCAGTTGTAGAGAGTCCATGCTTAGCAAGCACAGGGCCCTAGGTTCAATCTCTTAACAGCAAAATAAATACATAAAACTGAATAGATGTGTCTTAAAGTAACAGGGAAGATGCTGAAGAAAGTGTTTTCTTTTAGTATATACTTTATCCTAACTACTTAAGATTCTTTTAAAAATCTGCCTAAGGATTTCAAATATTGGTAGTGCTTTTAAAAGCAAATCGCACTCAGCCTTTGTGTAGATATATTGGCAGGGGCCTGAGGATGAAGTAATACAATTAGAATAAATTCTCATGATCAAATAATGACTGCATTATTTTTATAAACTATCTACTAAACCACTTCAACAGATTGTCTAAAACTGCCTAAGACCCCTAGTATATACAGAGTAGATTTAAGTATCTTTCTCTGGAGAACCTAAATGGTCCCTAAGAAAAGGACCGGGGAAGTCTATTCACAGCCTCAATATCCAATAAAGAAGTCCGCTAACTGATAGGATCTTCTCATACCTGGTCAGGGTTTTAATATCTCAATTTAAAATAGAAAATAATGCTGTCATTAAATATTTGAGAAAATGTACCAACATGAAAAAGAGACAAAAACAAACAAACTGAAAAATAATATGAATGAGAAAAAAGGGCACAGGACAGAAGAACAGTTAAAAACAAAAAGAAACCAATCACAATGTATTAATATCCTCAGAGCTAAGATTCTACAACATGAAATAAGAACAACGTGGCATAGATCTTAAAAGCAAGAACAGCAAACACTAAAATTTCAATATAAGAGTCAGAAGATAAAATAAAGTTGAGGATATTACCTAAAACATTAGTAACAAAGCCAGAGATGGACAATATTAGGAAAAGAGAAGCTACACATGGTGGTACATGCCTGTAATCCCAGCACTTGAAGGTGGAGGCAGGAGGATTCAAAATTCAAGGTCAGCCTGGGCTACAAATCAAGACCTTGTCTCAAAAAAACAGCATCAACAACAACAAAAAGGTTAAGTACTTTGAAGAATCAACAAAAGAAGTTCTAACATTGTTCCAGAAAGAACAGGGAAAAAACTTGGAAGAAATTAACAAAGAACGCAAGAAAATTTCTTAGAACTAAATAGGATGCATGACCTCATTTCCACAAAAAAGTTGTTCAGAGCAATGAGTGAAACAGAAGTCATATGGGTCTGAACATGAAATTTCAAAACAGCAGGGATAAAGAGCTTCTAAAAGTGAGAAGGATGGATAGCCCTGAATTCAAACCACAGCACCGCCAAAATAAATAAAAATCAGAGGACAGATGGGCACCAGTGGCACATGTCTATAATCCTAGCTACTCTGGAGGCAGAGATAAAGAGGATCACGGTTTAAAGCCAGCCCAGGCAAATAGTTCACAAGACCCAACCCAAAAAAGGTCTGGCAGAGTGGCTCAAGTACTCTACCACCTCAGCATGAGGCCCTGAGTTCAAATTCCAGTACCACAAAAAAAAAAAAAAGCCAGATGGATTGTAACCAAAGGGTATAAAAAAACCAAAAAAAGTTGGTGATACACAGAGAATATGCATCATAATGCTTCCAGCTTCTCCAAAGCAACTCTAGAAGCTGAGAAGGTTGAATCTGATGGACATGGTTTCTAATACTGTAGGCAGCCATCCATCAGTCAGCAATTAAATAAGAACATTTTCAGACATTCGTATCTCAAAAATTTTATACTCTTCTCAGGAAGCTACTGGAGAGTAGCTTCCTTCACCAAATCAAGGAAATACACCCAAAAAAAGATATGAATGAAAGACTATAAAAACAAAAGGGAAGCTGGGATATAGCTCAGTTTACAGTGCTTGCCTAGCAGACACAAGGCCCTTGGTTCAAACCAGCTCTGCATACATACATATATACATACATAAGTAAGTAAATAATTAAATAAAAGAGAAAGAGAGGAAAGGGAAGAAAATCCCCCAGATGACAGCTGTAGAGCTTGCTTTGGAGAGTAACCAATACAAGATAAAATAGAACAGTATTTTCTCAACTTTTATTTCATTATCTTCCCCCATGAATGTTTTAAAGACTTTTTTCCTAATCACCCCCTTCCCCCACCATTTTTTTCCAGCACTAAGGATCCAACTCAGTGTCTTGCATATGGTAAGCATGTGCTCTATCACTAAGCAATGGCCCCAGCTGCCCCCGCTCCAAAAAAAATTTTAATAATAAAACAGATATACACAGACCATGATCCTCTGGAGAACTACAAACCATTGTAACAATTTAAAAAATTTTGGCTGGGTACCAGTTGCTCACTCCTGTAATCCTGTCCTCCTGGAATCAGGAGGATCACATTTGGAAGCCAGCCCAGGCAAATAGTTCTCAAGATCCTATCTGAACCAACAGCTGGGTGCAGTGGTACACACCTGTCATCCCAGCTGCAGTGGGAAGCATAAAATAGGAGGATCACAGTCCAGGTTGGCCTGGGCAAAAAGGAAGACACTATCTCAAAAATGACCAGAGCAAAAAGGGCTGGAGGTAATGGCTCAAGCAGTAGAACACCTGTCTAGGAAGCACAAGGCCCTGAGTTCAAAGCCTACCACTACCACAGCAACAAAAAATTTTGCTCCCACAAAAGTGATTTTCACCTCATTGGGGGATGATAATCATCCTCACTGAAAATGCATAGAATACAAAGAAAGACTTCTGGAAGGAAATCTCAGTAAATGGATTATTTGATAAAATAACCTGACAAAAAAATCCTGAGGAAATTTGAGAGACTACAAAGAACTCTGAGAAAGCTGATTTTTAAAAAGACAAAAAAAATTTTTTAAGAAAATCCAAAAATTGACTCAGCAGTAAAGTAAACATGGTCACAACTTTGAAAACAGTCAATGTTAACAAGAAATTATGGAAACCACATTAGGGGGATAAAGAAAAAAAAAGGAAGAATAATTAGGCTAAGTCCTCATTAATCATAACAATAATAATATAACAAATAAAATTTAAAACTGTTTAAATCACAGATAGCAATATAAAAATATTACTTAGAGCACATAATACCTGAGGATAACACTAAGGGAATACTTAGCACGGCAAAGAGCAGAATCACTATTTTTTTCACACAAGTCTTTTTAGCACTGTCTATGTGCATATATCATTTTAATAAATCAAATTTTTTTAAAGGGAAAAGAGCTTTGGAGAATATTTGTAGTATAAAAAAGATACTTTGTTAGCCATGGTGACAAACATCTTACTTTGCCCCCACAAGGCTAAGGCAAAAAGATCTCAAGTTTGAGACCAGCTTGGGCTACACAGTGAGCTCTAGCCAGCTCGGCCGTGTGCAGAGACCTTGTCTCAAAAACACCAGGGAAAAAAAAATATATGCTTTTATTATTTCATGTGTCCCCTTAGCACTTTGGCATACCAGAATATGCCATATCTCTATTATTATGTATTATGATCATAATGTATAATGATTACTGATTAATCATTACACATGATTAATGTATTAATTATTGATAATGTATTATAACAATGTAATATAATACGTTATCAATAATTGTAATTACTTATTAAATTAATTACATTAATTATTGATAACGTAATGTATAATTGAGAAGACGTCTGTCTTCTTAGTAGATTATCACTTTATAAAACATATCTTACTCAATTCTGTATCTCAACACAATATATTTGTTACATGAATAATAAAATGTTAAAACCTTACAAAATGGAATAAAAGGATTAATGGTCTGAAAGAGAACTTAAGAAAGGTCAAACTCTTTCAGAGTTGGAAATTAAGTCTAAAAAACACTAAATGATTTATTCAAGCTATCTAAATAACTAAGGATTTGGCAGTATCAAAACTTAAAAAATATTCTAGCATTTCATTCATTGTACTTCACAATACAAGTGATGACATGGAAACAAAGGTTCAAATTCCACTACTTTCTCTGGGACATATCTTATTGTTTTTTTGGCTTCTTTGTTTTATTTGTTTTTTCTGAGATAGGTGCCTGTAGCCCAGACTAACCTGAAACTCACTATGTAACCCAGGCTAGCCATGGAGATCCTCCTGCCTCAGCCTGCCAAGCGCTGGGACTATGCTGCATCATGTTAAAAATACTATCAGGAACTGATAAAAATATGTATCCTAAAATTCAGATTCTTTGGATTGGTAAAGGTAATCATAATATTCTAAATTGAAAAATATGGGGCTGGGAGTATAGCTCAATCATAGAGTACTAGGCAGTCAGTTCAATCCCCAGTTTCAGAAAATAAAGTAAAAATAAATTATCAAGTTAACCTATGTTGCTAGAATTAAAAATGACAAAGAAGAAAAATTATGAGACATTTAAATAAAAAATTCCATGAATATATGTGCAACCAACTAACTCTGTGACCTAAAACATGCCATTTACGTTCTCTGTATGCGGTTTGGAAAATCTTAACTATACAATAAGCAGGTATTAAAGCATTTAATTATAAGTTATACTGACCCAAAAATGATTATTTTGTAAGGCTGCTAATCTTTTCCTTCCAAAAAAAAATCTCAGTTAAAAGCTGGCTGCCAGTGGCTCATGCCTGTAATCTCAGCTACTCAGGAGGTAGAGATCAGGAGGATTGCAGTTCGAAGCCAACCCTAGGCAAATAGTTTACAGGACCCTATTTGGAAAAAATCCAATGTAAAAAATAGGGGTGGCAGAGTGGCTCAAAGTGTGAGGCTCTGATTTCAAACCCCAGTACTGCCAAAAAAAGAATCTCAGTTAAGACTCTTTAATATTGGAAAAGAGTAAGTTTTTGTAACTCAGTCTACATATTAATATATTATTTCACTTATCAGTTTTGTTATAAAAACATTTATAATTCAAATCAGATTAAAACCCATTAATGACTATTAATACATGTTATAAACATTTCCTCCACTTAACACCAAGCAAGATTAAAAATACAATAAACAATGCTTTTTAACAATATTATTTATATAATAACTTGTTAGCTACTGTTGTTTTTCATTAAACAAATATTTATCATACATATGTTCTAGGTATTACATTAGGTGCCAGAATAAAATAAAGAGCCAAAGTTCCTGGGACTGTTTTTCAACGATGCTCTGTATTCCCACCTATAAGTGCTCAAATATTTGTTGAATGGTCTCCAGGTCACAGAATTATTTTTTCTAACAAAAGAAATTTTCACTTAAAAAATAATAATAAACCTTGTTACATACCACTGATGTTAAGGTCATAATCTCCCGCTGTAATCACATTAGCTACTAATCCTTCTGCAGGCTGACTGCCAGAAACAACATCATTCAAAAGCTTCCGAATGGCTCCAGGCTGAGGTGGTTGGGTGATAATGTTGCTTACTGCTATCTTCAAATTTTTAATTATGTGAAGTTGATTACTGGGATCTCTCATATGAACTTTAAAAAAAGAGAAAGAAAATTTGGAAGTAATTCTATATAATGCGTAACAAACCAAAATGGGTTAATGGCTTTCAAACAAAAAGGATTCTCAAATCAAAAACCAAGAATTCCAAATGGAACATTCTTCCTGCAATAACTGGTTTACAGCACTCCCTTAAATACCAGAAGAGCTAGCTAGACAACCTTTAACCATAAGCAATGTTACTGCTGACAATTTCCTCACTGTAGGTCCTTTCCTTTCTCCTATGTTTAGAGTTGCCAAAAACCAACCACTATCCACACCAAATGTCTAACTCTTACTTCACACTAAGGCTAGTCCAGGTAGGTAAGGTTTTTCATCAACAATGAAAATGGTAGGTATAAGGCAGAAAAGGGAATTAAATGCTGCATGTATTCTTCATTATTCTTTCCCTAGTCTTCTGCCTGCATTCTCAGTCTGTTTCACTATCATAAAAATCAATGCCCACTCTGGTACCAGATGTTAACAGTGAGGGAGACTGGGCATGTGGGAGGGTGGCAACAAGGGGTTTGTGGAGGCTGCGGACCTGCTAAACTGTGCTGTGAGCCTAAAACTAGTCAAATATATATATATATATATATATATATAGTCTTTCTAAAAAAAAAAAAAAGCCCAAATCTCTTTTGTCTCAATACCTCCTATCTCGTCCCTGCTACAATCCTCCTTCAGTCTATGAGATGTGTAACTAAGGGCTCAGAGATCCAGGACAGGGAATCAGTTTTGAGGTGAAATTAACACAGTACCTGATGTCTACAAGAGAACATGTAAACTTACTTTTCTTCATATTATCAGACAAGATGACTAGTTTCCAAAGTAATTTTATTAGTCCACGATAATGACTGAGGACACAGATTTGAGAGTCACACATTAATTTAAATCCCAACCCACTACTTATCAACTAGATTATCCTGCCCAACTTTGTAACTATGTGCTTCAATTTCCTCATTTGTAACAGGTGATTAATACCTACTTCACAGGATTAATTTAAGGATTTGGGTCATAAGTATTAAGCACTGAGCACCACCATGCCTAAAGATAAGTGATGGAGGCAGTATGAATAGCATCAGGCACAAAACATCTATTCCAACTGTATTGTGAGAAGCAACTAGGGTTTGAACTCATGACTTCTTATGCCACATTCCCAGTCTTTCAAAGAGGCAACTCTGCATAACTGGTTTTGAGTACCTACTCATGTTTTAAAAAGGGATTTTTCTTGGTGGAAAATGCTTTATAACAAGCAAGTCTTTTTTTTTTTTTTGAGAATGGAACTCACTATGCATCCCAAGGCAATCTCCCAAATGCTGGGACTGCAAGCGTGTCCCACCATGCCCAATTCCCCACAGCAAACATTTTTAAGTTCAGGCTTACCTATATTTTAAGTAGTTACAAACATAAGGATTATCTTTCTAAATGTCCTGGATTCTCTGTTGCATTCTAAAATATTATAATATTATACATGAATATGTGTCCATTTATTCTAAATACATATACAGAAATTATATATGTATATTCCTTTCACAGTGGTTGCCTATGATTATGGTCAGGATGGACAGGTAAAGTGAAACTAAGGACAGGTAGAAAAGGGACTTTAACCTTACCTATGAAGTTTGCTTTCTTTTTAAAAGAAGGGAAAACATTTAAAAAAAAAAAGTATGACAGACATTTAGTGTCTAGTTCAGGGTAGTAAGGAGCTAAAAGTATATTGTATTCTCTGCATTCTTCTGTAATTGTTGTTTTCTAATTTAAGTGAACACATACAGGCCTCTCTCCCTAATTAAACTTCACAACTGTGAAAACAGTACTATGCTGCATTTGATACTTTTAAGAATACATTATACCAATATTTTCCTCATAGTTGGTACATAATTGTCAGACATTAAACCTCTCTTTGAGGACCTGATGGCTTGACTCAACCCTCGTGAGCACAAAGCCTGGAGTTCAAACCCCAGTACCACCAAAAAATACAAACAACCTTTCTAAGGGTTTAGCTCAGGGATACACTGCTTACCAAGCACACACAAGGCCCTGGGTTAGATCCCCAACACCACACAAGGGGAAAAAAAAAGTTGACCTGAATTTTACTTAAAATTTGGAAGTTGAAAACTTTGGAGATCAATTATCTAGTTACATCAACAAGGTAGTTAAAGTATGATAAAAATGTTTTAGGGTGGGGATACAGATCACTGGGAATGAAATGTTTCTTAGTAAAAGACATTTAAGAAAACTGGAGACATTAAGTGTCTTTCAGAGATTATTACCTAGTCTAATCTGCCAAGTTTTCTAGCTCATGCAGAAACTACTCAAGAATTCTAAGAATTCACCTTCTTACGCAATTAAATTTAATCAATTTCAAAATAGTAATAGGTGTATTTTTCAAAACTGAAAGCCATAAATTTCAAAAGTTAGTGTTTAAGTGAAATTTTCTTAACATTTATAAAACATGTAAATGGCTGGGCACCGGTAGCTCACACCTGTAATTCTAGCTACTCCGGAGGCAGAGATCAGGAGGATTAAGGTTCAAAGCCAGAAAGGGCAACTAGCTCTCAAGACCCTGTCTCAAAAAAACCCATCACAAAAAAGGGCTGGTGGAGTGGCTCAAGACGTAAATCGAGTTCAAGTCCCAGTACAACGAAATTAAACAAAGTAAGTAAATGGTATGTTGAAACACTGTTTCAGAATTATCAAAGAACTACCACTAAGCAAAAACAGTAAGACTTAATGCAGTTTCTTGAAGTTATTACAGGTCTGGGGTGCAGCTTAAGGGTAGAGTACCTGCCTAGTATGCATGAAGTCCTGGGTTGGATCCTCAGCACTGAAGAAAAAAAGGAAGTATGAGGACCAGAAAATGTGTGTTGAACAATAAATGTAATTAAGTCTCAAGGATACAACAAGTGTATAATAGACACTTAGAATATTTTATTAATATATTTTAAAATATTTAATTTCTGATTTTAAAAATGTGTCTAAGGAACTTAAAATGGCTATCATCTAATACATCAAGCTTTATCTCTATTTTCAAGGTCCTGCATATAGCTAATACTCAAAATTGTCCTATCAATTCCACCTTCAGTATAGCTTTAAACCGTGTGTTTTTCTACTGAATAAAATAAGTCTCCTGAAAATACTTGCCAAGATATTGGCAACACTTGATCTCAGGAGTCAAAGCAAATTTTTACCCTAATAAGAGCAGACCTGCAGGCCAGAAATGAAATCTAGTCGGTTTTTTTGTTTTTTTGTTTTTTTAATTCCTTTCTCCTTATAAGGAAAGTTTAGCTTGTTTTAGTTGTACACTTAAATTTCATTGTCAGAAGTGATATTCTCATGCCCTACAACCTAAAAGCTTTACAATGAAGAGTCCCGCATTTGACACAAAGGTGGCCTGAAAGCAGCCCAGCCCCTCTGGTAACATACCCAAGTTGGGGATGTAGCTCATACTTGTGTAGTATGCACAAGGTGCTAGGACACAAGCACTACATTAAAAGAAAAAAAAAATTATTTACCAGAAAAACTAAGCCACAAAAAAAAAAACCAATCTTTTTCACCAAATTTCTAATGCCGTTATCCTAATACCTATCTTAAATGTTACATTTTACATAATTCCTCCCAATTCTTATGAGCAATGGTCTGTGACTACCTCACATTTCCCACTAGATGATTCTGAAATCCCCTTCCTATAATCAAGGTCCTCCTTTACTTAGGCATCTTCCCTTACTGTACCCAAGTAGACAGTGTCCCCACTGTTCCCCAACCACTCAATCACAATTTATACTTGCTGCTTCTGCCATTCTAACCGCCCCCCAACTCCTCAATAAGGAATGATTGCCCTTTTCCTTTTTATCACCTCTGAAGATCATCTGTCCCAATCTTCAGAGGGAAATTAAAAGTATACTGATATTGAGCCTCTATCACTGCACTGTCCAATAAAGAAGACACCAGCCACATGTGGCTTACTGAGCATTTAATACATGTCTACTTCAAATTGAGATATAAGTATAAAACACACCAAACTTCAGCCAGATGCTGGTGGCTCACACTTGTAATCCCAGCTACTTGGGAAACTGAGGTTAAGAGGACAGAGGTTTGAGGCCAGCCAGGGCAAATAGTTCATGAGACCCTATCTCCAAAAATAACCAGAGCAAAATGGACTGGAAGTGTGGAGCACCTGATTTGCAAGTGTGAAGCCCTCAGTTCAAAATCCAGTTCCACAAAAGAAAAAAAAAAATTTACCAAATGTCAAATGCAAAATATCCCATTAATGTATTTCACACCCATTGCCTGTTGAAATGGTAAAACTTTGGAAATAATTAGGTTTAACAAGATATACTATTAAAACTAATCCCACCTGGGTTGGGTGTGTACCTAAGTGGCAGAGAGGTTAGTATGTAAGAGGCTCCTAAATTCAATCCTCAACCCAAAATTTTAAAAAAGGCATGCCAGTGGCTCAGGCCTGTAATCCTAGCAGAGGATCAGGAGGATCATGGTTCAAAGCCAGCGTGGGCAAATATATTTGTTCTCAACACTCTGACTCAAAAATGCCGAACACAAAAAAGAGGTGTGAGTGGCTCAAGTGACAAGAGTGCCTGCCTAGGAAGCGTGAGGCCCTTAGTTCAAACCCCAGTATTGCAAAAATAGTAATAATCTCACCTATTTCTTTTTTCTTTTACCTTTTTAATATGGCTACTAAAAATTTTTAAACTATATATGACTCAGATTATATTTCTATTGAACAGCACTGCTTTCCAGTACAAATAATTCTAAGCATTTCCAGGAGACAGTATGATTTGATGATTAAGCTCACTACGTCTTGAGTCACACTGCCTGTCTTTAAATCTTTCCCAGATATAAGACTGTAGGGACTCCTGGTGTGATTCAAGCAATATAGCACCTGCTTTTGCAAGGTACTTTTGCCCTGAGTTCGAAACTCAGTCCTACCAAGAAAAAAAAAAGACTGTGGACAAGTTAACATTTCTGTGCCTCAATGCCCTCAAATTTAAAATGACAGTAACATGGGATTCAATGAGGACTTAAAAGAGAAAAACTACATGAGTGGTTGTCAGGTACTAGCATTATTATTTTTTTATTAATAGAAAAGAAAAAAGTCGCTGTTAGGGGTTTGTGCTTTTTAAGAATTAAAGAAAGTAGGGCATTTTGTTGTTCTTAATGTATAAAAACCTAACATAACATGGAAGGGGATGAGACTAATGGCTAAATTACAGACTGAAGAAAATCCATGCTTTCCCAAACTTTGGGGGTTTTTTTATTTATTTTTATCTGACAGTTCCCTCTCTTTAAAATACAAAAGCAAAGCTTGTAAAGGAGGGATTCTCCTAAAGATTGCCAGTGGCGTGTAAATGAATTTACACTTTTTTTTGGTGTAAAAATAACCATAACCAAGTAGACATCAGTTATTTGCTTGACAAAAGTTCACTGAAGAACCCTTCATTTTATACAGATCCTTTTTTTTCTTTTTTCTGTAGTACTGGGGTCTGAATTCAGGGCTTCTGCTTGCAAGCCAGGTGCTCTACCACTTGAGCCTGCCTCCAGCCCCTTATACAGATCCTAATAAAGAACTCTTCTTGCATTTTTGGCTACCTTCTATTCTTCCCAAGATATTGGTTAAACATATCTGGGGTACACCTGGAGCAATGAAATTTCAAGTACAGTTTAACCAATTTTTTTTCCCCAACAAAGAATCTAAAGCTGCAGAAAACAGGCAAATTTCTCAAAGAGAAGACACTTCTTCTACTTAAATGTCTATCTGAAAAAATAAATTTTAGGGCATTTCTGACCCTACAAATTTGAGTAACTTCAACTATTTACATTAACCACAATTTGCCCTCACTTCCTCATCCTTCAGGCAAAAGGCAGTTACAAGATTTTTTAACATAATGAGGGGGGTTTTTGTTTGTTTGTTGTGCGCTTTGAAGCAAAATACTGCGTACCTAAGAAAAGAGAAAAACTGCCTATCGAAAGAGATGAGCTTCAACACTAGACGAGTGTAACGCTCAAGATAACTTTGAGAGTCCAGTGCACGCAGAAACGTGGGGAGCAGGATGACAGATCCTCCGTCCTCTTAGGACCCGCGGCTTCAGAGACAGCATCTTTGTACCTTAGCTGCCTTGCAAGTGCCTCATTCCTTCCCCATGGGCCAGGGCAACAGTCTCGGCGCCGCTCCCCGGGGCTCACTTTTTTCTGTGTATTAATTAAGCGAAGGAGGTTGGGCTCGCACGGTCCTGACAACCTCGCACATGGCCCCTCCTCCGGCGGCCGCCGGGACACCGCGGGGCCGCGTCCCTAGACGCCACTCTCCCGGCTCGGGATGTAAACACCGCCCTTCTCTCCCCTAGCCCGCCCCCAACTTCCTCCTCCCGCCGGCCACGGCTCTACGGGAGCCACAGGGAAGAAAGAAAAAAAAAAAAAAGGGAGGGTACCACATACCCTCGGAAGTGAGGCGAGAAAAGGGCTTGAGCAGCTCGGCGAAGCTGAGATGATTGAGACGAGTGAGCCGCTCGGCGTCGTCGCTGCACAACGCGGCGACACAAGGGACGAAGGAGTCCGGGATCAGCTCCTGCACTGACTGTACACACTGGGCCATCGCCGCGGCACAGACGGTGGCGCCCGACCTCCGGCCGACCCTCCAAGCTGATCCTGCGGCTGCAGCAGCTTACCGCCGCCGCCTGTGCCGCCCACCCGCCGGCCTGACCGGCCGCCTGCCCGGCCGGGCGGGGCCCCGCGCTGGAGCCTGCAGACGAGTACAAGGAACCGATACCGCCGCCTTGGCTCCCGAGGCACACAACACTGACCCCTTCCCCTTCGCCGCCGCGCCTCAGCGCTCTCCCCGGCGTCCTTGCATTCCGCCCCGATAAGTGGGGACACCGATAATCGCCAGAGTCCTCCCGACGGCAAAGCCTTGGTCACTGCCCGACCGGAACCGCCATGTTCAGGCCGAACCTTAACCCACCGGCAGTACTACTCCCGGCAGCCCCCGCGCTCGCCCCTCACGTGATTGTGTCAAAGGAGCGGTAGGGGCGGGGAAGAGAGCTGAGGCGAGGGAAGTGGAGAGCGACGGAGGCCGATTGGGAGGTTGAAACCGGAAGTGGCGTTGGGTGGTTCCCTGCGGGGCGGGGCGAAGCGGGGCGGGGATGTGGCTACGAATGCGGTGGGCGGAGCCAAGCGGGCAGGCTCACCACTACTTTAAGCTGGTTCTCGCGACGGTACTTGGCTGAGTCCAGCCGCGCAACCCGCCAGCCAACATGTGTTTGCTCTAGATCGATGCTGTCACAGTGATGGAGACGCCCTCTTGCCATTCACGCAGGCCCAGGCTCTTTGGTGCCCCACAGGCTCTACCTGGCTGCAGTGAGCAACTGATACGGCGCTGCTTCCCGACCTCTCGCTTCTACTTTTTCTCATGCTTGTCCGCGGAGCAGCAAAAGGACACCTGCTCAAGGGACAGGAGCTGCTGCTCGCCAGGTGCTTGGGGTTCCCTCTGGAGCTGTTCAGGACAGTCTGTGTATCCTTTGAAAACAACCATGCTTTTAGAAATGGACTGCCACGTATGTGGACTCAGTCTCTGAGCAGAAAATTGTGCTGTTGCGGGTGCCACAATTAACTCAAGTGTAAGGGGAAACTCCTCAACTACTTACTGCATTTCTGGTCGAAGGCAAAGCGTGTGGCGTGGTTCGTCCTCAGCCTGTTTTTGTTGTTGTTGTTGTTTGCTTGGCTGGTTGGATTTTTTTAGACAAGGTCTCCTGTGTAACCCCACACTAACCTGGAACTCACTGTGTAGCCCAGGGTGGCCTCCGAATTTTCAATCCTCCTACCTTAGTCTCCCGAATGCTGGGATTATAGATGCGTGACACCATGCCTGGTTCTGCATCTTCCCTTTTCCACTCTGCTAGTGTGTTTACTTCATAGTGGTGGAGGTAAGGGAAGCCAGTATTTATGTACTGTATGCAGTCCTAAGCTGGTTTCCATTCCTAGGTTTTTATTTTTATAGATTTTTATAAGTAGAAGTGAATGAAAAGAACTTTACTTTATTCTGTCACTCAATTCTTTGAAATTCCTCTCAATTGTATGCCAAAATATAAGGACAGGAAAATTGCAACACTTTATCTTGGTTTTGTGGTGCATTGGTTAAATGAGGCTTCCGACACATCAGTATCTCAAATTGTCAAACTTGTTGGCACTCAGGCTATTTACCATAGTGAGAATTTATGCCTCTCTCCTGTAAATTGAGAAATAGGAGTTAGGGAAGGATAATAGAACAAGTGACATAACAACCTGACCAGAGATAAATTTAGAAAAAAGTGTCCGAGTCGAGGATCTAGAAATTCACTTCCCTAAAACTGTCTCTACCTGTGCACCTTTTAAGAATTCTTATGTACCCAAGGGTATGCATAATCCCTTTTGAATGCTTCTAGCCTAAATCCCATACCCTTTATGTAAGAATCTCAAACAGCAATGCTGAAGTTATAAAATACAGTTTTTGTAATGAGGTCCCAAAATGCAAATATACTGCTTCCTCTAATGCTCAGCTGAAAATAAGTTTAAAAGGCCATTTACTTTTACACTAAAGTTAAAATTAGCTATGTTAGACTCTTTGATGACTTTCAAGGATAATTTAGCCTAAATAGATATGGGAAATATAATTCACATACCCTAAAATTCTCACCTTAAAAGAGGTTTGTATACTCAGAAATTGTACAATTACTACTCTCTCGTTCCAGAACATTTCATCACTCAAAAAAGAAACCTGGGCCTCCACACTGCCTTTGGACTCAAGACTGCAATGTCTATTCCTGTCAGAATTTCCAGTCTGCTGGCCATTTCTATGTATTTCAGGCTTGTTAGCCCCCATAATTACCCGACTCATCATAGCACAGCTATAAGGAAAGTACCTGAGGCTTGCTACAAGACAGAAAGGAGAACAGGAACCTTTGTCAGACATTTTTCTCTCATCTCCAAATCTCTATTTGGTTTCATTCTCAGGAAGTCTTTTTTCACATGCTAGGGTCTGCCCACATTACCAGGTCATATCCTTTCAGTTTATCGAATCAAGCAGAAATGGAAGTTCTCCTTCCCAGATCCATGTATCCGTCCCAGGGAATGTCTCTGATTTGCCTCACTTGTGTCATATGCCTTTCTATGAGCCAATCATTTTCCAGGGGGATGGGCTATTGCTGCAGGCATGGATCATATGTCTGCTCTTGTGGGTAGAGAGGATCTATGACTAGAAAAATAGGGATGGGAGTTTACCAGCCACATTAAAATAATACCCATCATATAGCAAAAACTATCCATTGGCTTCTCAGCATCCACACACACACACCCTTCCCATATGTATGATTTTAAGACTGCCTCCACCCAGTAATTATCCCCTTTAAAACTGAAAATTCTATCCAGAAGCAGACAAAAAAAATCACATTCATTACTGCACCCAGTTCCAAACCAAGGGATCTCTGGATAATGTGTGCTCTTCTTGGTCAACACTGGGTGTGGTTCTTCATAGTCCTATTACTAATGGCAAATTTCAATGAAAACAACTCCAGTTGACAGTGAAGGAATATAGAAAACCTCAGTCCCATTTTTGAAACAAGAGACAGTTGATAGTGATCTGTGGACAAGGATAGCAAAAACTCATTCTCCAGCCAGTGGAATGAATTCCATGGCCAGGCAAACTGGTCTCCCTTCTATTTTTGCCTCCAAGGAGGATGTCCCTTAATCAGTATCCTCCAAGGCCATTCCTGAGAGAGATGATCAAAGTAGGGAAAGATATTATTCTTTCTAAAGACATGATCATTATCATAGTCATACCTATCTCCAAAGGAGGCTAGAAAATTTAGTCTCTAGGGTTCTGCTGTTTAATGAAGAGATTTAATAAATGAATAAAAATAATGTCACCATTATTACTCACCATATATTAAGCACAGTACTTTAACTACATTGCCTACTACTTTGCTTCTCTTATATGTCCAGATGGAGTAACTGAAGCATAGAGCAATTGATTAACCTTCCCAAAGATAAGAGACTCTGAAGCCAAAAGAAAGCTAGCTCAGTTTAACTCTAGAGGCTTGAGCACTATGGTAAATTGCTTTTCCATGGAAGTTTCCTTGTTTTGAAGCATGACTCTAGAGGCTTGAGCACTATGGTAAATTGCTTTTCCATGGAAGTTTCCTTGTTTTGAAGCATGTACAGAAATTTTAGTTTGTAGTATAAAAAACTTGCAATTAATTCACAAGTATATAGTTGTCACATAGAAGGTAACTACTTGTATATCAAAGGATTGGGCTTTAGAGGATGCCATGAACATATTTGTAGATTAAAATTTATTATGCTGAAGTATTTTATGCTACACTTACTTTAAATTAAAAAAAAAGATTTAAAACATAAAATTTGTAGGCTGGGAATGTAAGTCAGCAGTAGAGTATGTGCTTAGCATTTGTAAAGCCCTGGGTTTGATCCCCAGAACCTAATAAATAATAAATGAACAAACATACAATATATATATATATACACATATACATATGCTGATGGTAAAATGTGTACTTAGCATGCACTAAGCTCTGAATTCAGTCCTCAGCACTGTATGTGTTTGTGTATATGTGTGTGTGTGTTCCCCATACTGGTTCATACATTTTTTTTCTTAGTGCTAAGATAAAACCCAGGGTCTCATGAATGCCAGAAAAACACTACCACTGAGCTACACCCCCAACCCTAGCCCACAGTTTTTGTGTATTGTACTGGATATGTTAAGAAGTCTTTAAGCTAGGAGTAGTGGCAAATACCTGTAATCACAGCACTTGGTAGACTGAAGCAGGTGGGTTGTGAGTTTGAGGCCAGCCTGAGGTATACAGCAAAATCTGCTTCAAAAAAAAAGAAGGAAAGAAAGAAGAAGGAGAAAGAGCAAGAGAAAGTAGAAGAAGGGAGAGGGGAAGAAGGAATAAGAGGAGGAGAAAGAAGAAGAAGTAGCAGCCTTTAAGATACAGTAACAAAGACAGTATAGACCTGGTATAAAGACAGGCTCATAAATCAATGAAAATAGAATTGAACACCAAAAAATAAACCCTCACATTTAAGTGCAATTGCTTTTCAAAAATGTCATCTAAACAATTAGATGAGAGAAAAATAGTCTTTCAACAAATAGTACTGGGACACCTGGATATCTACATGCAAAAGAATGCACTTAGGAGCCAGGCACTGGTGCCTAGCTACTCAGGAGGCAGAGATCAGAAGGATCACAGTTTGAAACCAGCACAGAGAAATAGCTCATGAGACCCTACCATGAAAATACCCAACACCAAAAAGGGCTGTTGGAGTGGCTCAAGTGGTAGATCGTCTGCCTAGCAAGTGTGAAGCCTTGAATTCAAACCCCAGTATTGCCAAAAAAAAAAAAAAAAAAAAAGAATGTACTTAGAGATGGGGAGGTAGCTCGTAGCTCAGTATTAGAGCACTTGCTCAGCACATGCAAGGCCCCGGATTCAATCCCCAGTACTGCAAAGAAAAAGAAATCCAAAAACTAAATTGAACCCCTACTTCATACCATTTACAAAACAAAATTATGAAAGGCCCAAATGTAAGAGCTAAACTTATAGCCCTCCTAGGAGAAAACATAGGTGTAAATAAATCTTCTTGACCAGGAGTTAGGTGATGGATTCTTAGACATGGCAACAAAAGAGAAGGGAGCATGGTGGTACATGCCTGTAATCCCAGCACTTTGGAGGCTGAAGCAGCAGGATTGCAAGTTCAAGGTCAGCCTAGGCTACATAGCAAATTCCATGCCATCCTGGGCTACCGGGTGAGACACTGTGTCAGAGATAGAGACAGAGAGAGAGAAATTAGACATAATCAAATTTTAAAAACTGCTTCAAAGGACAACCTACAGCATTGGAGAAAATTAGTTGCAAATAGTGTGTCTGATATGATCTAATGAAAATATGATAACTATAAATACTGCTGGATTTGGATGCCAGAAATATAGCTATATAAGAAAAAAAAGACTCTAAAATCTGTAAAGGACAATTAAAACTTATTAACAAAAAGGCAACCCAATTAACAATATCCAAAAGATTTGATTATATAGTTCTCCAAAAGAAAAGATATACAAATACACAGTAAGTATTTGAAAAGATGTTCAACATCATTACCCATCAGGGAAATGAAAATAAAACTATAATAGCATGTTACTTCAGACCCACCAGGATAGCTA